AAAAAAAAAAAAAAAAAAAATGCTGAGATTCCATCTCACGGCAGAAAGAGGAGCTGTCATCAATAAATCATCAGTAAATGCTGGAGGGGCTGTGGGGAAAAGGAACCCTTTTCCACTGTTGATGGGAGTGTAAACTGCTGCAAGCATTGTGGAAATTCCTCAAAAAACCATAGAGGTTCCATTCGACCCAGCTATTCCTTTTTGGTATCTTCCCAAAAGAATTAAAAGCATCATGCCAGTGATATGTGCACACCCATGTTTATAGCAGCACAGTTTGTAATAGCTAAATCTTGGAAACAGCTGAAATGCCCATCAACCAATAAACGGTTAAAGATGTGGGTTTTTAAAAAATACAAAGTACTACTCTGCCGCAAAGAAGGATGAGCTTCAGACACTTCTAGCTAAATGGATGACTGTGCGACCATATTTTTGAGCGAGATAAATCGGACACACATATTTAAATACTGCATTGTTTCTCCAGTGTGAGAAACCAAAAGTGGAATTAAGGACTGAAATGTGTAATATAAAAAATAAAAATAAAATGCATAATCTATATTGGGAAATAAGAAAGTGTTCAAATAGGAAGAGGAACAAGAAATGGGGGTGGGGAAAAGGAAGGAAGGGACAAGAAGTAAAAGTGAAAAGAGGATGGAAAAATGGAAACAAAGCTTCTGTACATAGGGAGGAGGGGAACAGAATAAAGGTAGATGTATCATGGACAGGTGTAAATGCCCTACGACAACTGTTACCATTATGTATGCCTAAAATGTACCAATAAATGTTTTGGGTTTTTTTTTTTTTGTACGGGGGATCAAACTCGGGACCTTGTACTTGCGAGGCAGGCAGCGGACCCACTGAGCTAAATTCCCAACCCAATATTTTGCTATATAAAAAGAAGAAAATATTCCTAAGCTATACACCGAAGAATTTAGAGGACAAAGGGCCAAGGTCTCTAACTTATGCCAAACTGTTAATTTGTGAATCTAGATGAAGAGTACACAGGAGTTCACTGTACTGATCCTGTAATTTTTCTGTAAATCTGATTTTTTTCCTATTAAAAAAAGGTTACACTTACCACAGATTTGGTGTCCGTGCTATGAGATAATTTGCAGTGTTCCACAAGTCCTTCCTGATCGAAGTTCTTCTCAGGACAGTAAGGACAAGGAAAGGTGTAACGGTTTGGGACATTCCTGGAAGATGAAAGGCAGGAGAAGAGACAAGCCCCGTCTGTGACACCTTCCCAAGCCATCTCAATAGTACACTCCACCTGGAGCATGATGAGGATTCTCATTACTGCGATAGAATCAGGTACTGTTTTGGAAAAGAACAGCCCTGCCAACATCCAAAGTAAACATCACAGGGCCCCTCCTGCCAAAATACCTGTACCGACTTTGACCAGCATTAACATCTATACCTCCACCTTTCCAAATCCATACACCCAAACTCTCGAGGAGCACACGGTGCTCAACATCTTTGTAGCAGAAAATGAACTCCAGCAAAGGGAGTGACTGAGTCATTTACCTTGGCTGAAGAGATGCATCCTTTGTGGTGGCCTTCACACCTTCCATGATATAATTCTGGTATTTGGAGCAGGTACCCACATGGGCCCGGATCTTAGACAGTAAGAACTTAAAAGAAGAATCAGAACCCATAAGTTAGTGAAAATCTTTTACCAGGCAGTGTCCTACAGCAAGAGCAATCTACATCACCTTAGTGAATAATCACCATATTCCTAGCTACACCAATGGGGCAAGACCCTGATTACTGTACATTTTTCATTAATAGCAAGGCTGACACTTTCCTTGGCCAAATCACAGCATCTATTGTCACTATAACTCTCCTAGAAGGCTGTTTTCCTCATGATCTGCTCTGTTTACGGACTTGCTCCAAATCCAGTGCTGTTTTAAGCTTGCTATCTCACGTTTAGACTGGTCTTCCAGCAAGCCAAAAGCCACATTCCACTACACCCAGCACTGAAAACTGATCAGTGAGGTAAAAGGGACCCAGTTAGTAACCCTGACTACTGAAGTACTAATCAGGTTATGATAAATGAAGGGGGGTGGTGGTGCTGGAGATTGAACCCAGGGCCCCAAACATGCCAGTCAAGTATTTTACCACTGAGCTATGCCCCCAGCCTTTCAAAAATTTTATCTTGAGACAGAGTCCTACTAAGCTACCCAAGCTGACCTTGAATTCGCAACCTGTCTCAGCCTTCCGAGTAACTGGGATTACAGGTGTATACTACACCTTGCAGGGTCTGAGAAATGATCTTGAAAAAATGGAAATCTGAATTAGTTCACATAAAATCTAGGATGTACAACAGTAAGATGGAGAGAAAAAACAGGAGAGCTTCACCACAGGTAATCTCCCTCTCTTTTTTGTTGTGCAGTGTTGGGGTCTGAGCCCAGGGCTTTCATACCGAGCTACAACCCTTATCACCACTCTCCTTTTTTTTTTGAGACAGGGTTTTGCTAAGTTGTCCAAGCTGGGCTCAAACTTGTGATCTCTCTGCCTCAGCCTCCCAAAATTCTGGGATTACAAGTGTGCAGTGTGCAATATCTTGCCTGGCTGGTTGGTCTGTCTGTCTCTCTCTGCAAAGCTGGGGACTGAATTCAGGGCCTCACACATGCAAAGCACATGCTCTGACACTGTTTTTTGCTGTGCTGGACACAGAACTCAGGTCAGACATACTAGGCAAGCTCTACTGCTAGGCTACACTCCCAGTCCCAGATATGCTGTGTTCTTTTCACATCTTAGGTTTTCTTAAAGAAAAAAAGTGTAAGGAATGAAGACGGGGGAAGAAAGTAATTTTTGGAGGTGTGCCCACAGTACAATCACTAATCTTTAAAATGGAGAAAACAAACATACAGGGGAAAAAAAAAGAACACTATACATGCATGAAGGATGAGGTAATAGGACATTTTATTTCACCATCTTAAATTTCTAAGTTAAAGGAAACTATAAGAAAAAAAAAAAAAATCCGAGCCGGGGATGTAACTCAGTGGTGCCGTGCCTGTGTGGCAAGCACAAGGTCCTGAGTTCAATCCCCAGTATCACCAAAAAAAAATCCAATATCTGAGCTCTGGCTTACCTTGATAGTGCATCTTACCTCCAGTTCAAGAACCTGTTGACCTTAAGCTGCTAAGCAAGGTGTCTCCAATTAAAAAGGGTTGGAGCTACCTTATACAGCACTGTAGTAGTTCTGTTGTGCACCCCTAACACTCAATCGCTGTGAAGGGAAGGAGATGGTAAAGTATATCTGTACTATGGCCATCCACATGGCAGTATTAAAAATAATGAAAATGGGCCAGGGATTTAGCTCAGTAGTTTCTCTGCCTGCTGCACAAGCACAAGGACCCAAGTTTGATCCTCGGTACCAAAAAAAAAAAAGAAACTGGGGCTGGGGATGTAGCTCAGGGGTACCACACCTGCCTCGCAAGCACAAGGTCCTAAGTTCCATCCCCAGTACAAAAAAAAAAAGATAGAACTGACTGACACATAAGGCTGTCCAATAAATCAGTGAGACAAAATCTTCAAAAGTGGAAAAAGTTGAAGATGTATTATAATGTGATCCCATTAGGTTGAGCATGGCGGCCTACAATCCCAGCTCTTGGGAGGCTGAGGCAGGAGGATTGCTGCAAATTCCACACCAGCCTCGGCTACACAGTGATTTCAAGGCCAGCATGAACTACATAGCAGAACCCTGTCTCAAACAAACAAACAACAAAACAAAACAAAACATACCATGTGGTTAAAAAAAAAATTGTATCTGTGTTTGTAATACCTTTACATCTGTGTTTGCTAAAGACTAGAAAATTTCAGGCAGCCTTCTAAATGGAACCACTTTGAAGTACTCATCCCTGCAGAACGAGCCTACAGTATATTTATGTACTGCCTACAATAAAACTGTCATGATTGAAAAATCAATAAGGCTATGTACATTTCTTAAAAAATAAGGCAGTAATAATTTTCCTTTCTAGCAGCAGTTGTACTTGACTCTAATATGGTTACATAATGGATGCTTTTCAAATATTAGCTACTGCTCTCATTTAACATTAACCTTATATCACAGTTCCTCCCTGTCGAGTGCTAAAAAGTTGAACCATTTAAAAAAATTCTTTTGGGTCAGGATTTAGCTCAGTGGTTCCGCTGCCTGCCTCACAAATCCAAGGTCCCGAGTTTGATCCCTGGTACCAAAAAAACCCACAAAAAAACAAAGCAACAAAAAAATTCTTTTGTGTGGTTTTTTGAGACAGGGTCTCAATGAATCCAGGCTGGTCTTAACTATGTAGGCCAGGTTGGCCTCCAACTCAAAGTAATCCTCCTGTCATCCTCAGTGCTGGGATTACAGGCATGCACCATCATGCATACCTGGCTTGAATCATTAAATTTTATATCTCTAATGATGTAGATTATGAAGTTTCCCTTCATACTCATTGCAGCAAATAAAAACTTTTGAGTTACTGACTTTGCACTTCTAAAAAATCATGGTATTTTGGAAAATGGGTCTATTATAGGAAAAAACTGGGACAAGTGATTTGCATAGCTTTCAAAGTCAAAATATACAATAACCTAAACCAACTCATAAAAAAAAAAAAAAACAGTAAGTTTACAAAAATGAAAACAGCACGGCCATCACCACAGATACCTGGCATGCACAAGTGCTGTTAGTCACCTAGTCATGCTCTAACTTGAGAAACGATGTGGCACCAGCGTTACACTTTACCCCTCTCCTCGCACAGACATGGACTCTTTAGGTTACTCCCACATACGTTCTTACGGCAGCCATGGCAAGAAGTCTCTGTGCTCTCGATCTGCCGCTCGAGCTCCACAGCTCGGACGCCAGGTGCCAGAGCGCTGCGACACACCCCACAGACAGGTTTCTTCGGCTTCAGACATTCCTGCAGGCATGCAGAGCAAAAGCTAGAACAAGACATACAGAGAACCTCTGTCATGCATCGTGGAGACAAGACAACAAATGAGGATCAACTTTTAAAAAGACATCAATGAATAATGGATTAAAACAACTTATTCTCTACTTCTAATTCAAACACTAAGCCCTTCGAGGATAGAAAAAATTGCGACCTGGAGTAGAGAGGGACTGAAAAGAACACACAGACCCAACATCAGAAATAAATGAAAACTACATTTCTCAGTGATATAATGAGAAAGCCATTATGGTTGAGGGCCCAAATTTTAGCTCCTGGCACTGAGGGATCTTGGTAGGGTTTCCTGAAGCTCAGTTTTCTCCTCTGTGAAATGATGATAGCAGTAGCTACCTCTAGGATTGTTGGGAGGATGAAATATATACAGCAGACTCTTCCTACAATGAGTAGCACATATGAAATGCAAAATAAATGGAAACTGCAACCAGGAGAGGTGAAAGAAAGCACTATGGGAAAACGAGGCTGAGAGCAGCTAGTTACAACCCAAGAACAGGGCTGGTGAGACCTCAGAGGCCACCTCTACCATTAGCCTGGAAAGAGCACCTGGAGACGAAGGGTTATTTCACATCCTTAAGTCTTAAAATTTATGGTGCATTTGAGAGAATAAAAAGCTAACATTTTCTTCTAAACAGTAGGGAGGCAAGATTTTTAAAAATTTTATTACTGATGGTTGAACCCGCTGCCTATCACAGGCTAGGCCAAAGTTCTGCTAAGGAGCTACAACCCCAGGCTGAGGCAGAGATTTAACATGTTTACGACAGGGTACCAAGAAGACCAAATCCAACTTTCAGAAAAATAACCCTAGTGCACCATGGTCAAAATGGCTATTTTATTTTGTTTTGTTTTTTTAGATGAAACAATAAGAAAACAAGTAAATGATAGATGACTAAAGGCAAGAGATGTGAAGGCCTGATTGAGGCAAATGAGAATGAATTTAGGAGATGATTCAGAGGTGGAGTCACTATGATTTGGTGACTTACTGAATTTGGAGAAGCCAAAGATGAGTTTCTACCCTGAAGCCTAGGCAGGTGGTGATACTGAGACAGAGTATACAGAAAGAATGGGTCATAAGGAACGAAAAACTCTAGGCTACTTAATCTGACAATTTTTCATTTTTTTTAGCTTTTTGAGATAGGGTCTCACCATGTAGTTCAGGCTGGCTTTCAACTCACATTATATAGTTGAGGCTGGCCTTGAACTAAGGGATCCTCCTGCCTCAGCCTTCTCAGTGCTGGGATTATAGACATGTAGGACCACACCTAGCTGCAACTTCTTCTTTGAGATGGGGGTCTCACAAGCCCAAGCTTGTCTCAAACCTGTGTCTCAGGTGATTCTTCCAACTCAGGCTCTTAAGTAGCTGGAACTATAGGCCTGCACCACCACACCTGGCTCCAATCTGCTAAAATTTTAAGGCAGGATTAACAAAATCTGCCAGAACAACCCAGGATATATAATCAAAGGCAATCTTCTGCTTGATTGCTTTACTGTCTAACTAGATGTCAATGGTGCTAGGCAAATTCCAGACTAGACTGGGAGGTGACCCTATCATTCACCTCTGAAAACAGAAAGGAGACAAAGTCACTGTGCTCATAATGCTACATTCTAGAGTACAGTAAAACACGTCAATCTCATATGGTGAGTAAAAATATGAAACAAGACAGAGATTGGCTGGGGTGATCACATGAAGCTTCTAGGAAGAGGTGACATTTGAATACTGAGACCTTATTATGAAGACAGACACAGATCTGAAAGCAAAATGTTCCATAAAGATGTGACACCAATTACACAGGAGTGTCTGAAGGGCAGAAAGGAAAACCATCGGGGCTGTGATGGGTGTGGTAGACTCTAGAGAGGAAAGGTGATGAGGTGGGGCAGCAAGCAGAGTCTCACGGCCATTACTGTGCTGTCTTTGCAAAGGCAGATCATGAGGGTAGCCAGAGAGCACAGTGAAACCAGGTCAGCTCAGTCTAAGATTACAATACAGTGCAGCTCATCTATCAAATGTTCACAAGACCCTTTATGTCTGAGTTACACCCAAATAAGTCTCCCCTCCCAAGTGGGACTAAGGACTGAACCCAGGGCATTTGTACTGACTATATCCCAGCCCTTTTTATCTATTTTTCTTTTTAGTTTATACATTCCTTTATATTATATCCATTAAAAATTTATTTTTTATTTTGAGACAGGGTCTCACTAAGTCCTCAGGCTGGGACTCTTCTGCCTCAGCCTACCCAAGTGTGGAATTACAGACATGTGCCACTATGTCCTGCTTTAGCAACTCCGCCTTTAAGCTGCTTTGGGGCTGGCTTTCTGTTTCTGTTTCCTCCTAATGATTCTCCTACTTTAGCCTTCTAGATGTCTGACACTGTCACAGTACTATGGACAAATTCCCTCTCTTGGGCACCTAGCAACCTGCCTTTTCCAGCTGTATTTCACTAGGCTGAAGAGGATCCAGACACTGAGGGCTTGAAATAAAGTTTTATAAAAATCCAGTATTGGGCAGGGGATTTAGCTCAGTGGTGCTGCCGTCTGCCTTGCAAGCGCAAGGTCCCGAGTAAGATTCCCGGTAACCCCCCTCCCCATTCCAGTGTCTCAGCCACATCTGCAGTGATTCTCAAGTTTCCAAGTGCAAGAGTTAAAAATCAGGTAGGCAGAGAAAAAAGCACTTGGCGGAAGGTCAGGGAGACTTCTGCCGCCCTCACCAAGGCCTCTCCATCGATCTTCAATCAGAACTGAACACATGGAGCTGGTGTGGCAAGCAGAGAGACAAGACTTGAATCCCAGTAAGGGTCCCTGCCCTCTAACAGGAAAGGAGACCTCACATAATGCTGTTTGTCAGTTGGTACACCGTGCTGGGCCAAGTCTCTTTCAAAGATGTTAATACCCACACACAGAGCCTTGCCTGATCTGTTAATACGCTCCCACTGCCAGTGCCATGTGCACAGTTTGAACATTCATTACTACTTGTTTATAATCAATTCGCTGGACTGCAAACTCTGAGAGCAGCATCTTCACCCGACTCTACCCAACAATGTGCTACCGAGAAGGCATACAGTTGAGTGGACAACTGGAATATGGATCCTCGGACACTGTGCTGGGCACTGAGATACAGTGAGAGAGGGAAACAGATACAGTCGCTGCCCTTTTGACCCCTAAGCATTGCTCGGTGCAAGAAAAAGGTAAGAAGCTCTGGGAAAGAAGGGAGGGTAGTAATTTAAACTGGGTCTTGAAGCTTGAGAGGGACTCAGGGGTAGCGGTGGAGAGGTGCGGACAGAGCAGGTAGAGTTCTACGTTAACAGGCCTGCAGAATGGTACAGCCCAATTGCTTCCTGTACCCAAAGCAGCGAGAAGCAACCACTTGCAGCCAGTGTGGCTGCGGAGCCCTTGCCGAGTGGAGAGTAGTGGGTTAGCAAAACAGGCACCTCCAATGCACCTGGGGGTAGTTAGGCATTTGGTGAGCTTGTCCCCTGACTTAATCCACCTGGAAAACAGGTGCCAGCACCCCTCCCCCGCTCTTGCAAGAGGACAGCTGTGGGAACAATGCCCTGGGTCCCAACAGGTGCCCACTACGTCTGTTGATGAGTAAAGGGAACTGCAAGACCTATAACAAAGTGATGCCCAAGATAAACATGGAAGCCATGGAGGAAATGCCAACTCTGAGATAAAAAGCAGGAGGCCACATTTCCCATGAAATGTTCGGCTCAGGTGGGTGGGTGGGTGTGCGTGTGTGACGACGCAAGGTTTTTGATTCAAATCCCAACCTCAAAGCACCTACGCAGCCCAGCGCCTGTACTGGCCATGGTTTCACACATCTTTCATCGTCACAACCAGTCTACGGCGTAACAGGCCATTAAAAAGAGAACGAAACAACCCTAGTATGCAAGTAAGCAGAAATGCTAATTCCTATCAGCACCCCCACGCCCTTTCGCCTTAAGGCCTATCTGCATAAGGACTTCCCTTTTGTTCTTCGGTCTAGTTCTGCGTCCTCCAACTTCAGTGCATTAGAAATACTCAGCTGAGCAGATACAGAGGGCCGATGGACCGACCATACTTATGGACCGACGTACGGACTATTCCAGGGGAACCTTGGCTCCGCCAGGGCGCGTTCCGGACGCTGCGACTCCGCGGTCGCTGTCGGAGGAGCCCGACGGCCGGCCCGACACAGCGGGCGCTCGCGGCCCGGAGCTGTCCCACCGCGCGGGCCGGGAGAGCTGCCGGCTTGCTCGGCGTCGGGAGACCAGGAGTGGAGGCCCCCACGGCCGCCGGTCGTCTCGCCCCCTCCTCAGACCCGCCCGGTCCGGCGCCGCTACTCCGCTCCACTTCCCTCCCGGGCAGGCGCCCCCACCACCGGGCTCGCCGCTTACACGTGTCCGCAGGGCACCTGCACCGGCTTCTCGTACACCTCTAGGCACACGGGACACGTGAAGCGGGCTAGGGGATCGGCCTCCGCCGCAGGCCCCGCCAGCTGCGTAACGCCCTCCAAAGACTGCTGTTGGGCCGCCATCTTGCTGCCGCCGAGCGCCGCGCAACGTCGGCCCAGGATGAGGAGCTCGGGGGCGGGGCGGGGCCGCGTGAGGGGCGTGGTTTGTGTCGGGCGGGGCTGAGTGGGTGGGACTTCCGGTCTCTATAGAGCCCTAAGGATATGAATTCGGCCCGCAGCCTTCGCTTCAAATGGGTTCCTCTCCGTTTGAGCCACCAGATGAGAGTGCAGCCCAGCCGGCATGTGGATTACAGCCTGGTGAGAACCTAAAAAGAGGGCCTAGCCACACTCTTCACTTAGAGAAACTGAGACAATAATTTGTATTGTGTAAGAAGCCATGGGCATAGTGGGCCACACCTGTAGTCCCAGCACGTGGGAGGCTGAGGCAGGAGGTTTGCTGCGAGACCAGTCTGGGCTGCATACTGAGCCCAAGGCCAACCTGAACTACATAGTGAGACCCTGTCTCAAAAAAGGAAAGGTTTGGGGGGCATTTGTTATGTAACATAACTAATACAATCTTATTGGACAGTTTGCCTATAATTGTTAGATTACAAGAGTGTATACCCTTTGATTTACCTTTTCTATTTTCAAGACTCTAGGGTTATGCTGTGCAATACTTGTGGCTATGTTAATTTAAATACATTTAAATTAAACAGCTGGATGTGGTGGTGAATGCCTATCATCTCAGCACTCTGGGAGACTGAGTCAAGAAGATTGCAAGTGGGGCCAGGGATTTAGCTCAGTGGTCCTGCCGTCTGCCTCGAAAGCTCAAGGTCCCAAGTTTGATCCCCAGTACCAAAACAAACAAACAAGGAGACTGCAAGTTCCAGCCCAGCCTGAGCAACTTAATGAGACCCTGTCTCAAATAAAAAATGAAAAGTGTTGGGATGTAACTCAGGGTGAAGGCTCTGGGTTCAAAAGAAATAGTGCAAAAGAAATTTAAAATTTGAATTCTTCAGTCTCACCAGCCACATTCATTAGTTGCAGTAGCCACGTGTAGTGGACAGAGCAGATCCCAAATGTTCCATAATCGCAGAAAGCTCTGTTGGATGGTGCTGCTGTGAACACCTCACTCATGTTGGACAGACACCTACGGGGAGGTCCAGGACAACACTGTTCAGAGAGGCAGCCTACGTAATGACCAGGGGGTGGGGTAAATAAATGCAGTAGATACAACTGCTGATTCATCACCTCCAGGAGGACAAGGGCTTTTGTCCATGTTTGTTTACAGCTGTATCTTCTTCAGCTTCTAAAACAGGATTTGGCAGGAGTGGTGGTGCATGCCTGTGATTCCAGCACTCAGAAAGCTGAGGCAGGAGGATCTCCATGAGTTTGAGGCCAGCTGGAGTATGTAGTAAGTTCAAGGACACCCTGATCTACAAAGTGAGACCTTGTCTAAAAATTTTTTTAAACCTCCAAAAACAAAAACAGAAAACAAACAAAAAACCCCAGAGGATTTGTTAAATTGATATAGATCTGAAGCTAAGCATGGAGGTTGAGGCAGGAAGATTGTTGCTGTTCAAGGCCACCCTGGGCTGCACAATGGGTTCAAGGCCAGCCTGAACTACTGTATATACCAAGACTGTCGAGAAAAAAAAATATATATATATGTATAGATCTGATATGGAATGACCTACAAAACATTACAGTGCTGAGTAATATGCATAGTATGTGTTTGCATAAGATGAGTAGATGCTTTGTGAAGGTAGAGGGATCAGCTGCCCAGGTTTGCCTTAAACTGAGGTTCCCAGGATACAAGACTTTCAAGGATAAAGCTGACAACATCCCGAACAAACCAGGGCGAACTGACCTGAGCACCCTGCTGGGAGGGTTCCTGAGAATCTGGCACTGGTGACTTTCCTTAGGAAGGAAGACTGGGACCTGGGGCTTGGGTTCTGGGCCTGCAGGAAGACTTGCTTGTCCTTCTATCTCCTCTTGTGTTACCTGAACTATTTTACTAGTTTCCTTTCCTTTCCTTTCCTTTCCTTTCCTTTTCTCTCTCTCTCTCTCTCTCTCTCTCTCTCTCTCTCTCTCTCTCTCTCTCTCTCTCTCTCTCTCTCTCTCTCTCTCTCTCTCTCTCTCTCTCCCTCCCTCCCCCTCTCTCCCTCTCTCCCTCTCTCCCTCTCTCCCTCCCTAGCTTTTTTCTCCTTTGAGACAAGGTCTCTCTGTGTAACTCAGGCTGGCCTTGAACTCACTATGTAGCCTAGGCTGGCCTTGAACTCATAGCAATCCTTTTGCCTCAGCCAACCCCTTCCTGGGATTCCAGGTGTGCATCACCATGTCTGCCTGGTTTCTTTCTTTCCAGTACTGAGGATTGAACCCAGCACCTTTCCACTGAGCTACATTCCCAGTCCACCCCATTAAAAAATTTATTTTGAGGGGCCGGGGATTTAGCTTAGTGGTTCCACTGCCTGGTACCAAAAGAAAAAAATTATTTTGAAACAGGGACACCCTAAGTTGCTAAATTGCCCAGGCTAGGTTTGGACTTTGCAGTCCTCCTGCCTCAGCCTCCCAGAGTGTTGGGATTATAGGTGTCTGCCACCACATCCAGCTCCATACATCACTTTTTCAGTAAAAATTAAGCAGTAGTTCATTAGGAACAGTTGAGATGAGTTAGATATGAACTCAACCCTCAAATTATGTAACCCGCAGACCTCGGAGCCTATCTCTTCGCCTCAGGAAGTGTGTAAAATTTATCACTGCACTTACCTGCACTTGGTAGAGTAATATATATATATCATCAGTATATTATATATATCATCATATATCACTACATTTGTAAGCTGAGGGCAGATAATTTCAACTTGATTTCAGCAAGTTCTTCAAGATTGTCAAAGTGGAGAGAGCCCGGAGGGATTCCTATTTGTACCACTAGGGGGCACACGAGTGCCTCACAGAATCACGGGGCCTGCAGGTGGACGTCGCCTCCCTTGTTTCTTAGAATTCTGTGTTTGCTCTCCCTGGCCATTAGATGACTGTACTTACCCTGGAAATAAAAATAAAAAGGACAGAGCCTCATCTGGGCTTTGCCAGGGAGACGCTGGTGTATAAACAGCCACTCACCTTCTAGGTGCCGGACATCCTGCTAAGGGATATGATAGTGAATGATTTCAGCACAAATGAGAAAAACATAGGGGAATGAGCCCATTAAAATGCTGCTTCTAGCTGGACGCAGTGGCACATGCCTGTAATTCCGGCATTTGAGAGGCAGAGGCAGGAGGATTACAAGTTCAAGTTCCTGGGCAATTTTATGAGCCCATTTCAGAAAAACAAAACAAAACAAAATAAAGGAGGGCTGGGGTTATAGCTCAGTGAAAAAAACACTAGATTCAAACCCCAGTACAGGAAAAAGAAATCATGATTATGCCATCATCAATTCTTCCCTCTATTTTATTTACTTTTTAGTATTGGGGGTGTCAAACTCAGGACCTCGCGCTTGCAAGGCAGGCACTGTTTCACTGAGCTACATCCCCAGCCCTTCCCTCTATTGTAAAGCAACTTTAATCAGTAGTTTTTGTTTTGTGCAGAGGGTGAGGCAAGAGGATTTCAAGTTCAAGCCCAGCCTGGGCAATTTAGTGAAGTAGCAAGTTCCTGTCTCATAAATAAATAAATGAACAGGGCTGACGATATAGTTCATTGTAAAGGCTCTGAGTTCAATCCCTGGTATCAGAAAAAAAAGTCCACTCTGTTGTATCAGATTTCAGTCAAGGAAAAAAGTGTTTTTACCAGAGAAATGTAAACATTTGTCCATAAAACATTTTGTACAAGAAGCTGGGTGTGGTGCTGCAGGCCTGTAGTCCCAGCACTCTGGAAGCTGAGGCAGGAGGATCTCCACAAGTTTGAGCACAGCCTGGGCTACATAGTTTAAGGCTAGACTGAACTACATAGCGAGACCCTGTCTCAAAAAAGTTATGTACAAGAATATTGATAGTAATTTGTACAGAATGGTCAAATAGATCCAGACTGAAAACAACCCCAAGGTATATCAATGTGAATAGATAACAAATTGTGATGTAGTCACACGGGAATACTACTCACAACGAAAAAGAACCATGGGTCTGGGGCTCAGTGGCAGAGCACTCGGGTAGCATGCACAGAGCCCTGGGTTCCACCTCCAGCACCACAAGAGAAAAGGAAAGCAAGAAAAACAATCATCCTTGCTGGGCATGGTGGTACACCCCTGTAATCCCAGCACTCTGGAGGTTGAGGCAGGAGGATTACTGTGAGTTCAAGGCCAGCCTGGGATACATAGTGAGTTCAGGGCCAGCCTGAACTATATAGTGAGACCTTGTCTCAAAAAAAAAAAAAAAAAAAGAGGAGGCCAGGGATTTAGCTCAGTGGTTCTGCCGCCTGCCCTGCAAGCACAAGGACCCGAGTTTGATCCCTGGTACCAAAAAAAAGAAAAAGAATCATCCTAGCTAACCCGAGTCAGTGCTCACTCTGTGCATGGCAGCGTGTATGAGCTCATCGGATATCTCAGTCATCCTTCCGATACCATAAATCCTATTCTACTGATAAGGAAATGCAGCACCAGGTGGGTCAGATTGCTTGTCCAAGGTCACACAGATGGAAGATGCCAGAGCTGAGGCCCTTTGGCTCCCGAGTCCTCACACTTTCCTGCTGGGGGGTGATGTTGTAACAAAGATAACGGGGGTGTGGTTCTCCCTTGCTCACTTCAAGAGAGTGGGAAGGACAAAAATGTTTGATTCCTGCGAACAGTCCTTCAAAACCCAGAACTGTACTTGTGCACATGGGAATTTATCACCTCTGGTTTCTGTGCAGTCAAAGAGTCACCAGCACAAGATCCTGAGCTGTCCTTATCAGCATCCACTCCCGCCAGCTGTGTCTCCTTGGAGATGGGCTGGGCTGGGTGGATCCCTCTAATTACAGCCCTCAAGCCCAGTTACCTTTGATTTATGGGTAGTATGAAGACTGAATCTGTTGGCAGCTGGGTTTATATTTAGGGAAAAAGAAAAAATTGCCTTTCTTCTTCATTGTGAAGAAGGCTGATGTCACCAGCTTTCAGTCCAACGTTGCCTTTTTTGGGGTTATAAGCCTCCCTGCACCTGCTACTTGTTCGAATTTAGGAAGAATGTGTTGCTGTGGGAGCCAGGTGGAATCTTTAGCCTCCAGCAATGCAACCGTGATCATAATCATGGATAAAGTTTTCTGTGGGCTTATTCCCTGCTAGGCACTGGGTGAAGTTTCTTTCCAGTATTATCTTGTTCAATGTGTAAAATAACCTTATGAGGAAGGGCCTGTGATGAGCCCCATTTTACAGGTGGGGAAACTGTGCCACATGCAGTCTGATGTGAGTGCATCCTCATAACCATGATGATGCAGGCCTGAGAATGTAGTTGAAATTTTATTCATAGACCGGAATGAGCATCCTGCTAAGAAATTGGCATCAGGAACATTTTGTTTAATCGAGAGAAATGTAACAAGCAGCCACTACCACTATGCATACCTCTAAAGGGCCTCTGCAGGCTCTTTGCAGAGGTGGGAGTATAAAAAAGGCTGATGGTGACAGCTAATGCTAGCTGAGTACTTAGTCGAGGGCTGCCCTAGACTCTTGTAGCCTCCATTTTGGTGTCTTGCCCCCCTCACAAATGAAGAAATAGACACACACGCTTCCATATTTTCTCACTGAAGCACTAATTTAACACTCACTGAGTCAGGTACTATGCCAGACTACATTCCCGGTAATTTCCAGTGCTGTGCGGCACCAGGCGCTAGTACTCTAGCACTTACTATATGCCCACAGTATATGCTTGCAGACAGCTGAGTTTTCAGCTTCCAGTCTTACCTTTGAATGCTTTCTTCCCCCCAGCTGGAAGGAAAGCTGGACCTGCTTTTGTGTTCAAGACACTCAACGCCCAGCTCTCATGTACCTCCTCCTCAAGGCTGTCCTCAGTTTGCTTGTTGGTTTGTGGGGTGTGTTTTGTTTTTTGCTTTGTTTTGAAACAAGGTCTTGCTGTGCAGTTCAGGCTGGTCTTGAACTCACTACATAGCTCAAGCTGCCCCCAAACTTGAGATAATCCTTCTGCCTCAGCCTCCCCAGTTCTAGGATTATAGGTGTGCACCAGGCCAAGCTAGTAGTGATGTAATTATGATAAAAATAGATCCAGTTCTGTCCTCATGGAGTTCACTGACTCTTGAGGAGAAAGATATAAAAATCATATAAATATGTATTTGTGGATTGATTGAAAACATGTATGTACCTGTATTACTGTCCCCAGCTGACTTTATATAGACACATTTCTTTTGGAAAATACATGGTGTTAGGGCCGGGGATGTAGCTCAGTGGCATCATGCCTACCTGGTAAGTACAGGGTCATGAGTTTGATCCCTGGTACTGGAAAAAAAATGGTGGTTTTTTTGCGGTACCAGGGATCAAAATAGGCATGGTGCCAGGTGTTTTGTTTTTCTATTGCAAGTCTTTTTTCACTCCATAGTGTGTCTTGCATAGTTACATAGATTTGCATTGTCTTTTGTAAGTGATAAGTGTTTGTCAACGTGCAATCTCCTATTAATGTTTAGAATCAGTACCCCTTTAGAATTTTTCTGGTGCTACAGACAAGGATGCAACAGGTGGCTTTGCACACTTGTGTGTGTTTCTCTGACAGATGTCAAGAAATCCAACTGCTAGGTCAAGGAGTAGGTTTTCCCTGTCACTTTTTGTTCTACACACGTTCTGTATTGTTGGAATCATGTGCTACTTTTGTGATTTAAAAAAACTAAAAAATAGAAAGAGGTAGGTAGATGGTTCATGTTGTTGGCGTTTAGGAAGTAGAGGTGCCTGATCACTGTCACATGATGTTATGTAATCTGCTAATCATTATGTAATAAAATCTGAAAAAGATGCTCCTCTGACTTCCTCCTCAGCAAGCAGAGACCTCACAAGCCTTCATCTGTGTTTAAAAGATGAGAAATGGGACTCTCTTAAGAGACTTTGGGTCTTTTCTGAGGGGAAATGTTACCGAGTCTCTGTGACCAGGGTTTCCTACCAGGAAACCCTTTCTTAAAAACCTGTTTCCCTGTTGGCTGTCACAGAACCATGGAGCTGGAAGGGACTTTTTTAGCAGCCTCGTGCAAAAATGCTGTCTTGTAACACTTGCCAAAAGGGGAGTTCTGGGTTGTTGTAAAGGCAGAAGTGTTCAGCTGGGACAGTTTTTCTCAGCCGGAATTCCTGTGAACAGGATCACTTTGCATCTGATTAAATGTGAGCTCATAAAGTACACAGAGACCTTGAAGTGTGCTCAGGCAGCCACACAGTACCTAGAGTAATCGCCGCTGTTTGAATTACTGCTTCCTGGTTCTCCAAATGTTTCCCCAGAATTATGTCATTGTCCTGAGACAAGTCCCACTGGCTTTATCTGGGGTCATGGATGATAAGGACTCCTGCAGTCAAGGAACATCTGTTGGCCACCAGTTGATCAGACAGCCACAGAGCGCAGGGGAAATAGGGATAAAGAACTTGGGGCCTAGTGGGGTGTCAGGTTAAATAAACGTATAACCCATTGTGCTGAGGTCCTTGCCTGGAGAAGTCAGGAAAGACTTCAGAAAGGAAGTGAGAACTGAGCTGGGGCTGGAGGCCAGGAAGGCAATGGAGGGAAAGAGTGAGGAGAAAGTCACCACGCAGAGGCAAAAGCATGTGGAGACACAGAGGCCGAGGTGAAAGAGCATTGGAGGTGAAGGGAGCTCTGCACATGTTGGAGGAGAAGCAGCTGGCGCGGAATAGCCTGTGAGCCTCCAATACATGTCTGGGGTAAGTCAGAGGCAGAATGAATCGTTCAGTCACAAATAATGTTCAACAAAACCTTCCCCACCCTCACCCCATACTGGTATTTACACAGTCCCGCCAGCTCAAACCACTGTCCCTTCGAGCAGCTTGTACCACTGGTGATGTAAGTGTTACCGTCATGGATCCCACAGTCATGCTTATAACACTGGTGGTTCAAGCCTCCTGGCAGTGAGACATATGAGTTACAGCCCTGTGGTGAAATTGTTAAACCCACAGCCTTGCGCATGCTAGGCAAGCACTCTGAAACTGAGCTACATCCCTACCCCCTTTATTTTGCCCAGGCTGGCAGGAAACTTTTGAACCTTCTCCTTCTACCTCCTTCGCCCAGCTAACAGAGCCTTGAGTGTGTACTAGGCACCTTGCAAGCACCAGGGATTCAGTGGTGACCAACAGTAGTGCAGCCCTCGTGGAGCTTATGGTCAACAAGGTGAGTAGGAGTACAGAGAAGCCCGTAAACAGAGGCCATTGCAGACCATGCAAGTACTGCAGGTGCCTGGTGCCAAGCTCCAAAGCAAGGGCTTGTTCTTCCCCACTTCTGGTTTCCGTATTCAGGAAGACTGAGGGTCGACTGGTCATTTCCTTTGATTTAACCAAATTTAAAAAACAACGTATTTAGATCTCTAGTATATGCCACCTGTTGTACTAAGTGGTCTCCATGTATTAATTGTGGCAATCCAGGTATTATTATTATTGCATTTTTCAGGTGAGAAAGATGAGGCTCAAAGAGGTTAAGTAACTTGCCCAAGGTCAAACAGCTAATAAGCAATAAAGCCAAAACTGGGACCCTCGTTCTTAAACCACATCCCACAGAACAAGTCCACAAGCCCCTCAAAGCTGGTTTTGTCTCATGTGATCTTGACATCTCACTTGCTCTTTTTGAGCCTCGGTATTTCCGTCTGTAAAATGGGGCCGAAGGATCCGCCCATCACGCTGCTCGGTCAGGCACAGTAAGTTGGGAGCCCAGCTCGGGGATCATCTGGACAGAAGCTGGAGCCAAGTCTGGGAGGTGGGAGCGGACCTCCCGGCTCCCAGCTGGTTTCCATGACAACCCAGCCAGCCACATTCTCGCAGCTGAATGCCATGCGTCATTTCCGGTTCGTTTATTTCCGGGTCCCAGCACAAGCTGCGGCAACGGCCCTTTATGGCTCAAAGCAGGGTCTGCGAGCTCTGTGCTCGCTCTTCTGTTCCTTGCTTTTTCTGCCACCCATCTGTAGTCACTGCAGCCCGCAGTCATCTACCCCTTCCCAGGGTCAGCGCGCAGCCGCGGCCCAACCTTCTTTCGGGCCCGGCTCCAGGAAGTCACTTCCGGCGCGAGTGTTTCCGGGTTGCCTCGGACCCCCGGGTACTGGTCTCTGTACCCCGCTGCCGGCCGGAGAGCTGAGAGCCCAGCAGGGCCCGGCTTGGGCAGCGGCCGCGCCTCCCGTTTGCGTCTCTCGTCGGGTCGCCCTCGGCGTCAGTCAGGGGTGAGTGAGGGGCGGCCGCGAACGGAAACTGCTCCCGGGCAGAGGGGGCCCCCGACGCTGCAGGGCTCGGAGGGCCAGGGAACGAGGTCCTCTCGCGGGTCCCCAGGCGACCGGAGGGCCCGCTTTTTCGGCCCCCGCGGGACCCCCAGCCTGCCCTCAGGATCCCCATTGCCCTGAAGCTGCCTCGCAGGCTCCCGGAGCCGGCCGAGGGTGGCTTGCGGCAGCTCAGGAGGAACATCCCCCTCTTCAACGACTAGCCGAGCTGGAGGACACCCCGAGCCCACCGTGAGGCCGTGACTTCGCAGTGATCAGGCTGTGGTGGCAGACCTGGGCTTGTACACACTATGTGACCTTGGATAAGTCACTTGTCTTGTGAGCCTCAGTTGTCTCGTTTGTTAGGTGGGACGAATCTGGTTGCTAGGGCCGGAGTGAGGATGAAGTGAGACGATGCCGATGAAGCGATGAAGCACTGTGCCTGCCATTCGGTGGGCATACAGTAAATGATAGCTGCTGTTAACTTCATTCAGAAACCCGTGTGGTGGCTGAGGGTGTAGCTCTGTACAGCGCTTGCTTAACGTACCAGAGGCCCTGGGGTCGGGCCTCAGCACTGCAAAAGCAAACCCCATGGGAGGAAGCCCGAGTTTGACACTGTTGTTTTTCCCAACTGATGTGGCACTCAGAGGTGGGGGGAATTACCCAGCCGGCAATAGCTGTCACCAGCTCCTGTCCACTACAGGGACACAGCTTCCTTCACAGTCCCTCAGAGGCAGCTGCCTGGAGGGAAATCCACTTTCAGCACCACCACTCAGTTTATTTTAGAGGTTTTTGGAGGCTAGTGTGGGTGTGGGGACCATCCAGGGTTTCACGGCCAGTGGCCATCCACTCCTGGATGTGAGTGTGGAGCCTCCTGCTTGGAATGGGTCCACAGAGGTGAAGTGGGGAGAGGAACCCCCTTCCCCTGCTCCTGTTGGGAGCTGAAGCTAGACCAGGGACGTGTAAACCTGTGGATTGAGGCAGTGCTGGAACCAAAATAGCTTCTGCCTGTGCAGGGAGGGGGCGCCTTCAGATGCTGCTCGGGAATGTTTCTGCTTGAATGGGCGAGCTGAGGTAAAGCCAAGCCGGTGCTTTGCCATCCGGAATCATTCCAGTTCCCTTTAGCGGAAATTTAAACCGTTACAGGTTTCCCTTTAGATGTTTTAAAAACCAATCATTAGAGGCCGGGGATTTAGCTCAGTGGTTCTGGTGCCTGCCTCGCAAGCGCAAGGTCCCAAGTTCCATCCCTGGTACCAAAAAAAACAAAACAAAACAAAAAAACAATCATTAGAAAAGCCACTGGCTCCTTGACTTGTGCAGATCCGTCTGTCCATGGACTTGCTTTACTAAGGGGCCAGATTGTGGGTGCGGGAGGTGCAGACCAGGGCTGCCTGTCTCTGTGTTTAGGATATTCACAGAGCTGTGTTGTATTTTTTTTTTCCCCTGCCAGCTTGGCAAGGCTTGACATTCCAGTCTTTGGGTTGCTTGGAGAAATTAACAGCTTCTGTCACTGGGCTGAGTCTCGTGAAACCAGGCTGTTTTTGCAGAGTACGTTTTTTGTTGTTCTTGCAGTGTGCTGGGAATAAATTGCTGGCTCTGTGCTCAGAAAAGACACCAGCTATGACCAGCCACAAGGCAGGCTATATCCTCCGAAAATGTATTCAGCAAGGATGATGTAACTGCTTCACCACTGGCCAGCCTCATTCCTTGGCCCTTGAGCTTACATCATAGAGAGATTTGTGGTTCTCCCAGCCCCGTTCTGTGTGGGAAGCTGGGAATTTTGCTACTAGAGGAATTTTTAGAACTCAGCTCTGCCAGCTCTGCCATAGGTCATTCTACCTGAGTTGAGCCTTTCCAAGTAGAGCTGCCCATCAGATGTAGCTTTGCTGGACACATTGGTGCAGTGTCAGACTTTTGGCATTTGACTTAGGTTCACATCTCAGATCTACGTCTTCCTACCTTTCAGGCTTACAGCAAGTGAGTTGGCCCCCTTAGCCTCAGTTTCTTCTTTAATGTTGGGGTTGTCATGCGGATCTCATTGGTTTTTGAAGAACAGTTTGCACAGGGCCTTCACATACTGAATCCCCTTGGAATGGTACCAACTATAACAATAAACGAGGAGGAAAATGGGAGAGACCCAGTCTTCAGGGCCTGCCAGACTGAGTTCAAATTCCAGTACTAGCTGGGTGTGGTGCCGCACACCTGTAATCCCAGCACTTGAGAGGCTGAGGCAGGAAGTCACTGTAAGTTTGAGGCCAGTCTGGTCTACATAGTGACTTCAAGGCCAGCCTGGACTACATAGTAAGACCCTGTCTGAAAAAAAAAAAAAAATCAGCCTCTTGAATGGGCTGGGGATATAGCTGAGTGGTAGAGTGCTTGTCTAACATGCACAAGGCCATGGGTTCGATCTCCAGCATTGCAAAAGGAAAAAAAGCCTCTTTGAGCTTGTGGCTGACTTCCTTTGAGAAAAAAAATCACAGCAGTGCTTGATGTCTTTTTTTTTTTTCCTTCAGTGCTGGGAACTCAGGGTCTCAGGCTTGCTGGGCAAGTGCTTTACCACTGAGCTATGCCCCCAGCCCCTTGATGTTGTTTTTAAATGGTCTCAGACATACCAGAAAGTAGCCCTGGGACCAGAGGCAGGATGGAAGCTTCTCTTGCTTAAATAAAACCCAGCAAATGCATAGAGTTATCAACAAGAACTGCAGCTGGCATCTTGTGGAATGCACCATTGTTATGTTGGAAGAGAATGCGTATCTTTGATACTGGGTGCTGAGCTCTCTAGCTGAAGGAGGCTCTGTCTTCTTCACTATAGGCCTCTTCTCTACCCACTCCTCCGGGTAGGAGGTGGATGCTCCACAAATATCTTTTGGACTTGGAAATCATAGGGTGGTCAGAGGAATACTGCACAGGTGTCAAATCAGAAGGCCAGCCTTAGAGTCTTGGATCCACCTTCTGCTGACCTTGAGCTGCTTGTAGGATATCATGGCATCTTATGGAGCTCATTTCTTCTCTCTCCAGCCGATCCTCCAGGATTCGTCGGAGGGAACCATGAGAAGATACAAGATTAGCATCATATATGCCCACATACTTTACATCATTCATTTTACTTATTTTCTCAAACCCTCAGTGTGTATCAGGGTCTGTGTTAGGCATTGTGGTAAACAAAACAGATACAGTCCTTGTCTTTTGGGGTTCACTGGTTATCAGGCACGGCAGTGAAGAGAGAAGGCTAGTAAATGAACACATAATGTTAGTAACTTTAGGTTCTGGCTACACCTGGATGACATGACAGGGAGGGACCGGGAAGGTGGGAGTTATTTGAGATGAAGGGTCAGAGGACCTGGTGGCACATGCCTGTAATTCCAGCTAGTTGAAAGGCTGAGGCAGGAAGGTCACAAGTTTGAGGGTAGGTAGTACAACATAGTGAGACCTTGTCTCAAAATAAAATTGGCTGGAAGATGTAGGTTAGTGGTAGAGCATTTGCGTAGCACTCGTGAGGCTCTGGGTTCATCCCCAGTAGTGCCACACACACACACACACACACACACAGACACACAGAAGTTGAAGGATCAGGGAGGGCCTTTTGAGCAGTGACATTTGAACTGAGGCCTTAATGATGAGGTGAGCTAACTATGGGAGAAATCAGAAAAGAAAAACATGCATCCATGTGCAAAGGCCTGAGATCGAAATAAGCCTGGCATATGTGAGGAACCAGGATCTGTGTAGGGGAAGGCTGCTGGGAGAGGTGCGCTGTGCTCAGGAGGCAGAGTTTCATCCTGAGTGGCCTAATCTTTGCCTCCTTTCTCCTCAGGGTTATCTGTCACTGTTGCACTGGGGTTCTTTGACAGGGTAGTAGGTGGGAGAAGGTAGTCTTCTTACGTACCTAGGATTTTTGGTTTTGCCCTGGGGATGAAACCAAGGGCCTTGTGCATCCCAGGCAAGTGCTCTACCTCTGAGCTACATTTCTCCCCAGCTTCTTGTTTTTTTGAGATGGGGCATGCCATGTAGCCCGGGCTGGTCTTGAACTCTGCGCAGTCCTCCTGCCTCAGCCTCCCGAGTGCTGGCATTATAGGCATGTACCAGCATGCCTGGTGAGGGTGATTTTCTTTATTTTATTTTTTTGTTTTTTGGGGACCGGGGATTGAACTCGGAACCTTGAGCTTGCAAGGCAGGTGGCGGAACCACTGAGCTAAATCCCCGGGACCTGAAGGTGATTTTCTTGACCTCATGATAGCTACCAGGCCCTATCCCTTTTGGACTCCCCCACCGAGCCAGATTTAGAGGACCCCATAGGCCAGCCCCAGCGTGCAGCAGCTTCTCCCAGTCCCTTGCCATCTCCCATGGTCTGTCGCTCAGAGATACTTTGCGAGCTCGGACTCTGCCCCAGCCCTGTGCCAAAGGTACCTTATGCAGAGCAAGATGGTCATGGTAGGAGGAGCTTCTGGTCCGGGCATGGCTGTCAGGGCTTACTTGGAGCTGGCCTGCTGTATAGCGCTTATGTACGGATTGTGCGGACGCTCACACTGACTTCGATTCAGACGAGAAAACCCCCGGAGAGGCTGAGTCATGAGCCCAAGTGACCTGGAGGAGCAGCCCAAGGTTTCACACCCAGGCATTCTGGCTCTGAACCCTGTCTCTTTTTTTTTTTTGGTGTTTTGAGACAGGGTCTCGCTGTGTAGTTCAGGCTGGCCTTGAACTCGAAGTGATCCTCCTGCCTCAGCCTCTCAAGTGGTAGGATTACAGGCATGCGCCACCACCCCCTGCTTGGACTCTGTTCTGTGTTGCCTCCCCCTGCCCCGGTCCTTGATGAATCCAGATTTGCCCCCAGTGTTGTGGCAGCAAGAACATTGGTAGATCTGTGCAGGTTCTACTAGCAAACAGGTGGCTGAGGAGAGAACAAGATGGCAAAAATCCTGTGTCCCGGCTCGGAGCAGGCTCTCCTGTCCCGCCGGGCTGTAAAATGCTCTCAAGGTAGAGGGAATGCAGGCAGCAAAGCACCACTGAGGGGACAGCAGCCGGGCGGGCACTTTTCAGAATTGTAAATGTGATCATGTCCCTTGCTTTAAGCTCTTCAGTGGCTTCACATGGCTCTGAATAAGTAAAACATGAAATTCTTCTCTTTTTTTCCTTTGTGCTGAGGATCTAACTTAAGGCCTCACACACGCACAGCAGGTACTCGATCCCTGAGCTACACCCCCAGCCCCAACAAAAAACATGAAACCCTTAATGTGCTCTTGGAGGCCCTAAGTCAGGCCTGGTGGCAGCTCTTGCTGCTCCCTCTGTTGTCCCGCCCTCGGCCACCTCCTTTCTGCCCCTGTGCCAAGCTCCTTCCGGCCTCAGAAGGGCAGGGTGTGGCTGGGAAAGGCGTGGACTGTGGGGCCACATGGCCTGGGTGCCGGTCTCAGCTCCGCCTGTGAGTCCTGTGCTTCTGTGTTGGATTTTCCCCAGGCCCGGCAGCAGCTTCTGTCTTCAAGGGCCTCGAGAATCCGTGAGCCAGTACAGCAGGAAGCACTCTGGAGCCGGAGTTCCCTCCTCTCTGCAGAGCCGCTCTTGCGTGTGATGCATGTGGATGATTGGAGGAATGATGTGCTGCTTGTTTCTCCCCTTGCAGAGCGCTCCGTTGGTCCAGCAGGTGGCATGTCAGGGCTTTTAGAGATGTCCCTGCCTGCAGTCCAGAAGCCATGGAGGAGATAAGGTAGCCTCCCGGATCAGATGGGGAAGCCCAGTTCAATGGATACAAAATATAAGGATGACTTATTTCGGAAGTACGTGCAGTTCCATGAGGGCAAAGTGGACACCACCCCCAGCAAGCAGCAGCGTGGCAATGATGAGTACCTCCGGGTGGCAGCCTCGACCCTGCTCAGCCTGCACAAGGTGGATCCCTTTTATCGATTCCGGCTGATCCAGTTCTATGAGGTGGTGGAGAGCTCCCTACGCTCACTGCGTTCCTCAAGCCTGCGGGCTTTGCACTGCGCCTTCAGCGTGCTCGAGACTGTGGGCATCAACCTCTTCCTCTACCCATGGAAGAAGGAATTCCGAAGCATCAAGGTGAGTCCATGGCATGGCTGGCCACACTGGTGTTCCCTCTCCTCTCCTGTCCCTTCCAGTCCATCCTAAGAGGGGTTCTGCCCCTCTGACCGCCTCCCTCCCCTGCTGTCAGAGCAAGCTGACCTGGTCCCTGAGGGGCGGGCTGGGGAGTTTGAGAGGAGATCCGCAGCCTTCCAGGCAGGGAAGGCACAGGGCGTTAGCTGCCAGTCAGGCTGTGAGTCTGGCATGTTCTTCAGATCTTCACGGAAGGGCAAGAGAGGAATAGTCTTGAGTGCTTATGGGGAGTTCCGCCTTCAATCCAATCCCAGTTATTCAGCCGTGTTTGCCTTGGGTTTCTCTGCTTGTGGAGTGGAGCCTTGGTGCCCACACAGAAAGCTAGTGGTTTCCTCCCCTGGCGTCAGAGAGGGGCTGAAGTATAATGTCCTCCCAGGGTGCTCCTGTGTAGGAGCCTCCAGGCCTGCAGAGAAGCTGTGAGACCCTCTGCTGCCCTCTCTCCCTCCTGGGCCCACTGAGTGGCCTTTGCTTTGGCCCGGTGTCTGTTGTGTGTCTCTGAGAGACAGCCCCGCCTCTCTTCTGCCCTTCCTTCCCCAGACCTACACAGGCCCTTTCGTTTACTATGTCAAGTCGACATTACTGGAGGAGGACATCCGTGCTATCCTGAGCTACATGGGCTACACACCTGAGCTGGGGACTGTGTACAAGCTCAAGGAGCTTGTGGAGAGCCTCCAGGTGAAGATGGTCTCCTTTGAGCTCTTTTTGGCCAAGGTAGAGTGTGAGCAGATGCTGGAGATCTACTCGCAGGTGAAGGACAAGGGCTACTCCGAGCTGGACGTCGTGAGCGAGCGCAAGAGCAGCTCAGAGGACGTACGTGGCTGCTCCGATGCCCTGCGGCGGCGGGCTGAGGGCAGGGAGCACCTGATCACTTCCATGGCCCGAGTGGCACTCCAGAAGTCGGCCAGTGAGCGGGCGGCCAAGGACTACTACAAGCCCCGTGTGACCAAGCCCTCCAGGTCAGTGGACACGTACGACAGCTACTGGGAGAGCAGGAAGCCCCCCCTGAAGGCCTCGTTGAGCCTGCGGAAGGAGCCCGTGGCCACAGACTTGGGGGAGGACCTGAAGGACGAGATCATCCGCCCGTCCCCCTCCCTCCTGACCATGTCCAGCTCCCCCCACGGCAGCCCCGATGACCTTCCTCCCTCCTCGCCAAACAATGGGCTTGGCCTGCTGCGCAGCGCGTACTTCTCTGCTCAGGATGACGTGGACCTATACACCGACTCGGACGCCAGGGCCGCATACCGCAGGCAGGACGCTCTTCGGCCGGATGTGTGGCTGGTCAGAAACGACGCCCACCCCCTCTATCATAAGCGTTCGCCCCCGGCCAAAGAGTCTGCTCTCTCCAAGTGCCCAAACTGTGGTCTGGCCTGCAGCGCTGCCCTCTGCCAGCGCTGCGACAGCCTGCTCGCCTGTCCCTCGGCGCCCAAGTCCAGCAACTTCCCCATCAAGGCTGCTGCTCTTGACAGCCTGGCCCACGGGCCCCCTCTGCGGGAAAAGCACTCGAGCCAGGCTCAGGCCCTTGACCGCCTGCCGCCCCTCCACTCTAAGTCCAAGCCCTCCACCGCAGCCACCTCCCGCTGCGGCTTCTGCAACCGCCCAGGCGCCGCCAACACCTGCACCCAGTGTTCGAAAGTTTCCTGCGACGCCTGCCTCAGCGCCTACCACTACGACCCCTGCTGCAAGAAGAGCGAGCTGCACAAGTTCATGCCCAACAACCAGCTGAACTACAAGTCCACCCAGTTCTCCCACCTCGTGTACAGATAGACCCCACCTGGCACCTTCTCGCTACAAGGGCTACCCCACTGACCTCCTGGTTCCCTGGTGAGGAAGTGTTAAGGCATCCGGTGGAAGCAGGGGCCTGAACTTGACCATGTAGTGGCGGGGATCTGGCTTGCTGCACCCAGGTGGGAGTTCACTTAGCAACTCATATTGCAACCGATGGCTGCTCCGATGGCTGCTCCGTCATCTGACAAGGAGAGGGTGGCGCTTGCGCTCAGATTCAGTTTGGCTAATCACTCCCTGTTCAGTTGGTTTTTGGTTTGGTTTGGTTTGGTTTTCTTGTTTCTTCTAAGGAGGATTTGTGTCTGGGATTCATGCCGCGCCCACCCCTCCCACTGTGAAGCCAACATGGATGGGGAAGGCCCTTCAGGTCACCTCCAGATGTCCACCTGCAGCGGCGAGCTAGAGGCCTGTTGGCTTGTGAAATGAGCCCTCCTGCCACACTGGGCCTCTCCTGACGGCTCACCCTTTGGCCATCCTGTTCCCAAACGCAAGGATCCCCAGCCAGACCCCCTGCACCCTGCCTTTCCTGCCTTCCCAGATGTCAGAGGTGAAGTGAGTCCAGTATTAGCTGAATGTCATCGTGTTGCCGCCACAGCTCTGTCAGCCCATGGTGTTTGTGAACTTCGCGCCGGCACACTGACGTGTGGACTTCCCATAGCAGGACTGACCTTTCCCTTTCTGTTGTTTGCACATGCCCCTCTTACTGTACTGTAAATAGATATTTTTGAGATTTATTTTTAAATAAATATTCAACTTGCTATGTGTTTCAAAGTGGTTAAAAATTAATTATGTAGCTATTTATAAAAAGGCCCTGGGTTCTTAGTCTTCCAAGGGAGGCCTCCTGCCCTTTGCTCTTGTGTCTTCCCCTTGCCAGGGTGGAGTGGCGTTTGGGGCAGGGCAGGAGCAGAGACCATGTCCCCTTTTCTCGAGCTGGTGGTGAGCCACTGTCTTCCCAGGATAACTACTTACACCTACCTCCAGCGTGCACTTAGGGGGTTAGCACGGGTGCTGAGTCTGCCCTGCAGACTGCGATGACCCAGTGACGATTCAGGGAGCTCGCCCTTCGCATCGACAGCCCTGGTCTTTGGAGCCTGCTGGTCGTTCGCCTTGCACTCCAGACTTCTTGAATCTCGTTTCAGAAGGAAAATCATTTGGGTTTCCCACAGCTCTCCATCTCTTCACCAGTTCCCAGCACTCATCTGCAGCAACATCCGGGAGCTTTTTGCACTAACTGGGCAGGAGTCGGCGCGTGTCCCCCAGATGCTTGGCTGGGCCTCGGCGCTTCCGGACTGAAGGCCTGGACTCCCCGTGGGAATCACCGAGGTCTGGATTTTCCTCTTCTGGGGTTGCAGAACAGGAGTGGGGCAAGAATTTGAAACTAAGTTGCTTCCTTGTAAACTACTGTTTTAGCTGTAAGTGTTTGTGATGTACACACTGTTAGGGATTTATGCGCAGCAGGTTTTCTGGGAGGAAAAGGTGTTCGGCTCTGGAGCAGGTTTGAATCTGGCTGAATCCTGAGGCCACTGTGAATTTGCCAATGTCCTTCCAACTCAGTTGAGTGGTTTTAAGGTTTTCCAAATCTTATATGGCTCTTTTTATAATATATATATATCTAGTAGCTCACATGTAGATATACAATGTGTATATAAAGTTGAATTTCAACCAATTTTATTACTAAGACCAGGCTGTCCGGGGCATTCATCTTTGATGTTCTTCATTTTCACATTTCAGAACTGGCAATGCCTGGCCCATTCCCAAGAGCTCTAGTTTTCTAGTTTTCCACTTCCAGATTGCTCCAGCATCACAGTAACTTAGCTCCTAACCAACTGTGATGCCACGTGATTTACAGTGGGCAAAAGCAGGAATGGCCAAGTTGTCCTAAGAAGACAAAGTCCAATGTACCTAGCATCGTGGAAATACTGTCTTCATAGACTGGAATAGGAAATACGACCGCACTCCTCCTTGCTGTGTATCTTACTGTATGAAGTTGCTGTGATTAAGATAGTTAAATATATGCTAATTTAACAACGCAGATGTTTTGCATTTGATTTCTACCAAGAGTTGAAATGTTGAGAGATGATTTTAAAAAATAATAAAGTGTCTTCCATTGTTAAATGAAGTGTTTGGGGTTTTATGTCCCCTGTCTTCTCCACTTCTTTGAAGTTTGGGTTGCTCTTTTGTGGAAGCCTTGTGGGTGTTTTTGTTTTGTTTTGTTTTTTTGTCAAGGTCTCACTATGTAGTTTAGGCTGGCATTGAACTCACTATGTAGCCCAGGCTGACCTTGAACTGGTGATCCTCCTGTCTCAGCCTCCCGAGTGCATCCATGGGATGACAGACATGCACCACCACGCCTGCCTTGGAAGCCATATTTAGTCCTTTAGGACAGGACTCCGGGTCCTCCCCCAAACTGACAAGTGATAGCCAGCCCTTGAGTGCTGGACCATGAGGCCCTTATGTACTTAAACTTGGTGCATGATCTTCTTGTGTAATAGTCCTGATCGTCCTGTGAGGTATGTTGTTAGGGTCTCCATCCTACAGAAGAAGAAGGGGAACAGTTCGGCCATGTTTCCCAAGGTGGGAGTACAGACACCAGAAGTAAATATTGGTGGTGGCTGAGAGGCATTACATAGCACTGGAGGACATTATTAAAAATTAGGCAGGCATGGTGGCACTTGCTTGTAATCCCAGCACTTGGGAAGCTGAGGCAGGAGGATTGTCTCCAGTTCAGGGCCAGCCTATGCTACACATAGTGAGTTCAAGACCAGCCTGAATTACATAGTGAGCCCCTGTCTCAAATAAAAAAAAAAAAATCCAAAATCCAAAACAATTTTCCACCCATGTAACTCCCTTAGGGAGGGGCTCAGTTTGTCTTTTTCTTCTTCTTTTTTTTTTTTTTGGTACCAGGCATCTAATTCGGGTTCTTGCGCTTGCACAGCAGGCGGCAAAACCACTGGCTAAATCCCCGGCCCTTGTCTTTTTCTTCCTTGGTGCTAGGGACGGAACCTGGGGCTTGGCCATGCTGAGCTATACCCTGGCCCAGCTGCCTTGTCTTCAACAAAGAGAAAGTGCATCATGCTCAGAGTCGGGCAGAATCTTAGCTGAGTTTTCATTTACTTTCTGTCAAAACAGGCCATACCAGGGCCGGGGATTTAGCTCAGTGGTTCCGGCGCCTGCCTCATAAGCACAAGGTCCCTAGTTCGATCCCCGGGACCAAAAAAAAACCAAAAACAAACAACAGGCCATACCATGTTTTCATCTGCAGCAATGATAGATTTCTTTCAGAAATCAATTTAAGCTGGGCATGGTAGGGCACAACCATAATCCTACACTTGGGAGGCTGAGGTGGGAGGGTTACTGAGAATTCAAGGCCAGCCTGGGCTACATAGTCCATTCCCAGCCTGAACTGCATAGTGAGACCTTGTTGCAAAAAAAAATAAAAAGATTTTTTTTTTTGGTTTGTTACTAGGTTTCAAACTCAGGACCTTCAGTAGGCAGCAGAACCACTGAGCTAAATCCCCGCCCCAGGTGTTATTTTTTTGAGACAGGGTCTTGCTATGTAGTTCAGGCTGGTTTTGAACTCTGTAGCACAGGCTGGCCCTGAACTGGAAACGATCCTCCTGCCTCAGCCTCCTGAGTGCTAGGATTACAGGGGTGTGTCACCGTGCCTGAAGGTGTTTTTAAAAATGAGCATTGCTGGGCATGGTGGCATACACCTGTAATCCTAAATGGAGGCAGGAGGATCATTCTGAGTTCAAGGGCCGGCTAGGCTACAGCATGATTTCAAATCTAGCCTAAACTACATAGAAAACAGCAAAATACAAAGCTAAGGTGTAGCTGTGCAGTCAATGTGGGGTCAAGCACCAGCAGGGCCTCTGCCTCCGATGCTCACTGCTCTGAGGCTGACTCAGGGCAGCTCAGCCTCGGGAGAGGTGGCGTCTCAGTTTCTTCCTGACTGAGCAAGGCAGTGTCCAGGAGTTGGAGCTGTTGTAGCCAAGGAGAGGGCAAGGCCGCCCTGGGGCGTGTGGAACAGTAGCAGCCTAGAGGCGAACCCAGCTCCGGGTGCACAGGGAGCAGATGAGTGCTCAGCATCAGCATCAGCGTCTGGGGGCAGTGACTTCAGAGCGGATCTGCATCTGTGGAAGTGAAGGGCAGGCGCATTTCAGCCACACAGCACGAGCTCCACTGCCAGCTTCGGGTGCCAGTTTGTGGCATCCCGGGGACCTGAATACCCTTCTCTGTGGGTTATGTCGGGCGCTGCAAACCATACCCTGATCTTCAGTCACTACCTCTCCCTTGGTAACAGAGCCCTGATTTTTAGATCTACGCCCACCCAGAATAGACTGTTCCTTGGCTCTCCTGCAGCCAGATACGGCCCGGTGCCTTATGTCTGGTGCCTGCATGGAAAGGTGCTTTGTGTGGTGGCTTCTAGGACATGGTCTTCAAAATGGAGGTGGGCCAGGTGCAGGGGCACATTTCCCAGCCAGGTGGGAGGGTCACTTGAGCCCAGAAGTTTGAGATCAGCCTAGACAGCATAGCAAAAAAACAGAAAGGAGCTTCCCTTTTCCAGCCGGATCCTTCCTGGCTGGCTGGTGTGGCCATGAGGGCTGGAGCTAAAGCAGCCCCAACAGCTCCTGAGGATAATGCCAGATGAAGGGGATGGACCACAGCCTTGAGGGCTGGTACTTTGGTACTTAGGAAGCTGCCATGATACCCTGTCTGTACTGTCTACCTACAAGTTTCTTTGGGGCAGGCCAGTATTGGAGATTGTACTGAGCTACATCCCTGCCCCTTTTTTATTCTTTATTTTGATACAAGGTCTCACTAAGTTGCCTAGGCTGGGCTCAAACTTAGTGATCCTCCTGCCTCAGCTTCCTACAGTGCTGAGATTACAGGCATGTGCCACTCCGAGTTTCTTAGATGAGAAATTTATCTTTCTTAAACTACATTTCCCCCTGTTTGCCTATTTTAAGAACTTTTTTATTTACAATAGAAGTACAGGGCTGGGGATTTAGCTCAGTGGCACCATACCTACCTGGCAAGTGCAAGGTCCTGAGTTCGTTCCCTGATAACACATACACATACACACCCACAAATACAAAAGAAGTGCAACTAGTGTAATGAACTCTCACATACACTGAGCCAGCATCAACAACTCAGCAGTTACCAGACCGTGGCTGAGCTGGGTCCTGTCTGTCCATCTCCCTACTCCTTTGAAGCAAAGTCCAGACATCTGTTTCCTTTGTGACTTTCAGTGTGTACATCCAGAAGACAAGGGCATTTAAGATAGGGTACCTCTAAAGACCTAATATTTGTGTCCCTTCCCCCAGGTTCATATGTTGGGAATGAATGCCCAGTGGGCTGGCATTAGGTTGACCTTTGGGCAGTGACGGGATGGGGTGGGGCCCTCAGCGATGGGATTAGTGCCCTTCAGGGCAAACAGAGCATTTCTCTCCTGTTCAGACCATCAGTGAGCTCGGAAGTGGCCTTACCAGACACCAATGCTGCGGCCTCCTTGCTGGACTTCCTGGCCTCCAGAACTGTGAGAAGTCAGTTAGTATTGCACGTGAGCCATCAGCCTATGGTATCTTATAGCCTGAACAAACCATAGACAATATCATTCATTAACCATGTAAGTTTAAAACACTTCCTTAATGCTGACAAATCTCCAGCCAGTGTCTGCATGTGCAGTTGTCTTGTATATGAATATGGATTTGGATTTTGTTTTCCTGAGACCCACAAATGAGTCCCCCACATTGCAACTAATCTTCAAGTCACCTTTACTTGCAGATCACAGGGCCCCATCTTCTTGGTTTTCCTCAAAATGCATTTGTCGAGGAAACTGAATTTTCACGTAGAGTTTGCCAGTGTATAAATGTTGCTTATTTCAGTCCCAGTTTGTTTAGCATATTCCTCTCTTCTCTCAATATCCTAAAAATTGGTAGTTGCTTTTATTTTTCCCAATTCCTTACTGCTTATTTGCACATGTACAAAAGTAGAAAAACATTCCTTATGGGCATCTTTTGGGGCTTCAGCTCCACACAGGGGAGAGAGGAGCTGAGTCCGGCCAGGCTCAGTGCACGCAGAGGATTCCCCCCCCACTGGCCAGGCTGGGTCCCTGCTGTCCCAGGGGCACTCTCCACCAGCGGCTCATTTCGAGCCCGTGTGGAAGAGGTGAACAAACAGCAGCCTGGCTCACTCCGCCCACCAAGGCCTCAGTTCCCTCCTCCCCGCACCTCCAGTGAGGCACAGAAAGAAACAAAGTGGGGAGGGGGCTATACTATAACAACTCAGTATATAAAATACACACTGGCACCTAGATACACACATGCAGATAAGTGCATATATTTTATTCTTCTCTCACCATATTAATACACTCAAATGCACGTGTATCCTTTTTACTGATTCAGCCCTGAATGTAACTCTGCTGTGAATCCTTCAAGAGAAGCACCTGGAGCGCACAGGGACTGCAGACGCCCTCCTCCAAGGTGGTGCGCCTCGGCAGTGGGAGGGGCAATGGGCAAAGCGGGTCTCGGAGCCCAGAACAGCCAGGTTAGAACAACTCTCAAGGGGTGTAGTCCCTTTCCCCACATGCAGTAAAAGGGGCTGAGAACAAAGGCCGCTCCGAGTCCCAGCTCTGGGCTCCTGACCTTACTCCAACAAGGTAGCTGTCTAATTATTCTCTCCTTTGCCCAATAAAATGATTTTGGTTCCCCATTTCTCTTCCCTGTCCAATAAAGTGATTTGTTTCTCCTGAGCTTATAGCTCTACTTCTTTCAATGATGTAGGTTTTTTTTATGAACCCTAGATAAAAATGCACCCTCACAAGACATAACAGCACCTTTCTTTTTTGTTGTTTTGTTTTGTTTTTTTGAGACAGAGTCGTGCTATGTAGCTCAGGCTGATCTTGAACTCACTATATATGCCAGGCTGGCCTTGAACTCGGAGCAATCTTGCCTCAGCCTCCCAAGGGCTTAGGATTACAGGTGTGCACTGCCATGCGCAGCTATCGGCACCTTTCTGTACTTTTTTTTTTTTAAGCAATTTGCTGTATGCTTTTTTTTTAATGGGAGCAAAGTTTATTTGAAAAATAAAAGTGAGGAGTGAGAGAGAGACTGGCTCTACAGAGCAAGCTTGGGCTGAGTAAAAGAGGAAAAAGCAGGGCAGGGGATTTAGCTCAGCCGCACAGTGCCGGCCTGGCAAGCTCGAAGTCCTGGGTTCAAATTCCAGTACCCACCTGGCCAGTACACGATGCAGGCCTGAGAAAAAAACACACTTGAGACACAACTAAGAGAGAAAGCGGGGTGCCAGGACGACCAACGCTGGTGCAACCCAGAAAGGCGCTGGACAGCCCCAGGCACTGACTTTTTGGTCTTTCTTTGTTTTTTTTTGGTACCGGGGATTGAACTCAGGACCTTGCGCTTTTGAGGCAGGTGTGGGAACCACTGAGCTAAATCCCTGGCCCAGGCACTGACTTTTATTGGCAATCAACTGGGGTAAAGGCCATGACCTGTGGTTTCTATGGAAATTAATGTAAACAAGGCTCAAAAAGGACAAGACAAAGCATTCTTAAATTAGGAACAGAATAGAAAAAATATATGGTTGTAATTAGAACATTGTCCTAGTCAGAAGGTTTTAGTTGTGGGAACAGAATTTGGGTGCGAGTTACTCTGACCTCGGCACGTAGGCTTCAGCCGACTGGTTTCTATAAACAAGCCAAGTGTGGGATTAGCTGTTCACAGCCTGCCTTGGGCATAATCAGTATTACAGTCCTCTGCAGAGGACACAGGGCGGGGTACTGGAAGGAAAGCCACAATAGTGAGTTTGATTTGTTTTTATATTAAAAAAATTATGGGGGCCGGACATGGTGCCACCTGCCTATAATCCCAGCACTCAGGAGGCTGAGGCAGGAGGCTCACCATGAGTTTGAGGCCAGCCTGGACTACATAGTGAGGTCAAGGGCAGCGTGACTACCTACTGAGACCCTATCCAAAAAAAAAAATTCCATTCATCTACAACTTGACTACCAGTGGCATAGTTTAAAGATGGAATAAAGGCAAGTGTGATGGCACACACCTATAATCCCAGCACTTTGAGCGACAGGTAAGAGGGACAGAGGTAAGAGGATCGCAAGTTGGAGCCCAGCCTAGGCAAGTCAATCCCAACCTACAATTTAGCAATTTAGCAAGACCCTGTCTCAAAATGGTCTGATCAGGTCTGGTCAGGTAGGGATCAGTCTGTCTGGGCTGGTTGGTGCTGGCCCAGTCTAGGCCAGTCTGATTCAGTTGAGGCAGGTCTGATCCTGTCAGGGTCTTTTGACCTGGTTTGGAACCAGTGGGGACTGATCAGAACCAGTCCAATCTTGGCCAGTTGGAACTGGCCAGAACCAGTTGGAACCAGTCAGAGCTGGTCCAGCCCAGTCAAGACCACTTCAGTTCAGTTGAAAGCAATCAGGGCCAGTTGGAACTGGTTGGGGGCTAGAACTGGCTGAGTCCAGTCTGGTCAGATACGGTCAAGTCTGTATGGATCTGGGAGGAACCCACTGGCGCCTGTCAAGGCCAGTTGGGACTGGGCAGGGGTGTTTGGTACAGTCCGGTCCAGTTGGGGGCTGATTGGAACCTGTTTGAACCGGTTGGGACCTGTCAGAATGGGTCAGAACAGGTCAAAACTTGTTGAGGCTGGTTGGTTTTGTGGCAGGGTCTTTTTTTTTTTCTTTAGTACTGGAGATCAGACCCAGGACCTTGTGCTTTTGAGGCAGGTGTGGCACCACTGAGCTAAATCCCTGGCCCTAACAAGGTCTTGCTATGTAGTTCAGATTGGCCTTGAACTCTTGGCAATTCTCCTACCTCAGCCTCCCAAGTGCTGGGATTATAGGTGTGCACCACCACACAATACTCAAATTTTATTGATTGATTGATTGACTGGTACCAGGGATTGAACTCGGGTCCTTGCTCTTGCCCCAGCCCGGTAGCAAATATTTTAGACTGCACAAAGAAGACAAATTTCCATACATTTTTTGACAAAACTCAACATTTCATGGAGATTGAAATTTGAATTTCATATAATTTTCCTGTCCTTTTAAAATTTGCAATACTGGGCCGGGGATTTAGCTCAGTGGTTCCGCCGCCTGCCTGGAAAGCACAAGGATCCAAGTTTGATCCCCGGTACCATAAAATTTGCAATACTAGGATTTGAACCCAGGGGCTTTCACATGCTAGGACAGGAAAATGCTCTATCACTAACACCCCCCCCCCTTTTTTGGTACCAGGGATCAAATGAGGGACCTTGCACTTGCAAGGCAGGTAGCAGCACCTCTGAGCTAACCCCCCAGCCCACTAACCCTTTTTACCTTTTTTTTTTTGGTACCAGAGATCGAACTCGGGACCTTGTGCTTGTGAGGCAGGTGCCAGAACCACTGAGCTAAATCCCCAGCCCTCCACTAACTCTTTTTATTTTGAGAGGCAGGCCTCAAATTTGCAACCCTCTGAAGTAGATTTGATTACAAGCATTTGCCACCACACCCAGCTGTGTGTGTGTGGGGGGGGGGGTTTCTTTTGAGACAGGGTCTCTCTGTAGTATAGGCTGGCATTGAACACCTATGTAGCCCAAGGTGGCTTCAAATTCAAGGTGATCCTCCTGCCTCAGCTTCTCGATTGCTGGGATTACAGGCCTGCACTGTATGTATATTTTTAAAAACACATAATTCAGGGCTGGGGATTTAGCTCAGTGGTTCCAGCGCCTGCCTCATGACCTGAGTTTGATCAATGGTACCAAAAAAAGAAAACAACAAAAAAAACCCCACATAATTCATTTTGAGCTCCCCTTGGAAGGAATAGGGGTTATAGGGTGCTCAAAACTTTACAGCCTTTCCCCAGTCCTTTCCCCTGCTTTATTGCCTCAAAGGAAATTATTTCTTTTCTTTTCTTTGAGACAGGGTCTCGCTATGCAGTTCAGTTAGCCCAGACTTGCAGCAATCCTCCTGCCTCAGCCTCCCAAGTGCTGAGATTTTTCTTCTCTTGATCATTCCCTTTTACCCTGAGAGCTTTCTCTAGAAGTAGAAAAGGAGAGCGAAGTGCAGGTGCCCCTTGGCCTGCTCAGGACCCTCCCCTTCACTGCCACAACCCTGTCAGGGTCAGGCTGACACTCGCTCAGCAAGATCCCCTCATTTCAGTGTCTCCCCAACACTGATGCCAAATGTCCTTCATTGCCATCACGCTTGCAGTTTCTACTACGGTAGAGGAATACTGCTCTGAACCCAGTCTCCGTGCACCCGAGGGAGCAGCGGGCACAGCAGGCGAAGTCCCCGCAGGACTGATCTGCGATTCTTGGGGTGGCCCTGATGGCGGCCTGGAGGCACAGAAGCCTGAGCCTGGGCAGGGTGGGCTCTGGCCTGGGTCTCGCGTGTTCCCACGAGGGTCCCAGGCGGGAGGCAACCCGCTCCCAGCTGCTGTGCCTCCCGCCGGAGCCTGGGCCGGAGAAGCTGGGGGCGCCTGAGATGACACGCGCGCACTAGCACGGAAGCTAGCTCGGATTTCCCGGGTTTTTATTTCCAAAACAATTATCCAGTGACAGGACTTCCATCCATTTTGAAGTCCAACTGAGACAAGCGGGGGCTCTGCCAGAGCCTGGCCTCCCAAAGGTCCTAAGGACAAAACCCCGCACTTAAGCGAGGGAATACAAGCTGGGCCTCCCGACCGTCCCTTCCTGCGCCACTGCTCTGGTCTTCGGGCCACCGCTGCACCCTCTCGGCCAGCAGCAGCCCCGGGCCCTCTGCCGGCCGAGCTCCCAGAGGGCAGGCCGAGGACGGAGGGCAAGGAAGGGCCCAGCTCCTCCTGGGGTTCTGGGGAAGGAGGGAAGCTGGCGGGGGGGTGGGACGGACGGACAGGGGCTCCTCCTTGCTTTCCAGCCCACGAACCACTCACTGCATTTGTTTGAGAAATGACAGATGAAAGGGCAGGGGAGTTGAGTCCTTATTTTCTGAGAGCTTGCAGTTCCGCCTGGAATTTTCATTTATTTATTTTTGGTACCGAGGATCGAATTCGGATCCTTGCGCTTGCGCAGCAGGCGGTGAAACCACTGAGCTAAATCCCTGGCCCTTCACAGTTTCACTGCAGCTCAATCTGGCCTCGAACTCATGGCAATCCTCCTGCCTCGGCCTCCTAGAGTGCTGGGATCACAGGTGCTCACCACCACACTCGGCTGGAGCTTTCATTTAAAACCCTGCCTGGGGCTCTGGGGAGTGGGGCCCTGGCAGAACTTCACGGTTCTGACTGCAGTGTCAGGAACAGCAGGTTATGATTTGGTTCCCATGCCCCAACCTGACCACCAGGGGGGCAAGGCACGCCTGGATCCTGGAGGCGCAGTAAAGGGAGACAGCAGCACTGTCTGCCGTTCCCATCCAGATTTGTGAAAAAATCCACCTCCAGGGCCTCTGCTTGCTGTGAAAGTGAGGCGAGAGCTCACCCTCATGGGGTTGTTTCCAGAGGCCCACTTGGCCAGCAGGGGGCATGGGGGGCTCAAGGGAGAGCCGGGCTGCAAGGGGTCCCCGGGGTCCTTCAGGGAAAGGTCCCTGCCCCTCCCCACAGCCCTGTGTTGCTTTCACGTCTCAGCAAAACTGGGGGCCAGGTGTGATGTGGCCTAGGTTTTTGGACCTGGAGACCTGCTATAGTCTGAACTGAGACCCTGACTTTTTGTTGCTTAAGCCACAAACTTTTTTTTTTTAACAAAAGGTATTGGGGATTGAACCCAGAGGCTTTGCACTAAGCTATATCCCTGGCCTTAAAATTTTTTTTTTTTTTCAGCAGGGTCTTACTAAGTTCCTGAAGTGGCCTGGCTGATTTTGAACTTGCAATCCTCCTGCATCGGCCTCCCAGGTATTAGACAAGTGCACCACAATGCCCAGATTGAATTTACCATTTAAAAGAAAAAACAGAAATCTTGGCAAGCTATTGAGCTTGCAAAGCAACCTGTATCACCTGAGATCAGACCTCAAGTTTCTTTTGTTTTTTTTTTTTGAGACAGGGGCTCAATGTGTAGTTCAGGCAGGCTGGTCTCGAATTCATGGCAATCTCCCTGCCTCAGCTTCCCCAGTGCTGGGATTACAGGTATGCGCCAGCACACCTGGCAGATTCATTTCAAGAGAGAAATAAATTATTTGAGCTGGGGTCAGAGAACAATATGCTTGCTCTCAGAATCCTGCTGCACCCCAGGTATGGGCAAAAGTCCCCTTGTTCCTTCTGACTTCCTTTTTCCATGGAAAGAAAGTGGTGAAGGCCAAATTTATGCAAGGCAATGGGATGACTCAAACTCTGGGATTAAGGTGAGAGATACGGTGAGACAATGACATTTCAGCTGTCTCAAGTGCTCCTGCTTGGTGGCCCTCACTGATAACTTCTGGTGCCGGGCAAGATGAAGGGCCAGGCGGGGTGTGAATCCTAGCCCGTGGGAGGTCAGTGCTTCCAACAGCCCTGCTACCAGCCCTGGGCCTTGCAGGTCCCCACCCAGAGCCGTGTGAAGAGGCTGTCAACAGCCCTCGTCCGGACAAAGGCAAGAAGTTATGGAAAGGGCAGGTGAGCCAGGGCGCGCATGTGCGGTCGCATGCACCCACGGGAGTCCCCGCACTGACTCACGGCTACTGGAGGGGAGCTGGGACCCAAGATGGTAGGGAACTGGGAGAAGGGAAAGGATGGATGAACAAAGAGCAGTAAAGGTGGGCGCTGGTAAAGGGCAGGCAGATGCTGCAGAGCCTGGGAGAAGAGGCTCCGACTGAACGATGGGAACAGCAGTGCAGGGAGCTGGGCACATTGAGGGAGACGGGGGTGCAGCAGCAGCTGCCAGGCTCTCACACTTGGAAAGTGCATGAACCAGAGCTGTCCAGACAGCAGCGCCGACCGCAAACTCCCTGCATTTCTTCCTTCTCCCTCTAGAGGGTGCTCCGAGCCCAAGGGAAGCCTGCTGCAGAGCGCAGCTTCCAACCGGCTCAGAGCAGGGTGCCTGGAGATGGGCACGAGTGTAAACATTCACAGTAGCCCAGGGCAGCAGCTGCCCGCCGTGGAGACAGGCTATGCAGGGCCACTGAGAGGTAAAGAAAAATAGTCAGTTTCTTTCTCAAGGAGGGGAGCAAACACCAGGAGCGTGAGCCACGAGGGTCAGAAGTACAGCGGTGACCGGAGGCACCTGGTGACTCAGGCAGATGGCAGCTGCTCCTTGGGTCACGATGCCAGCAGGGCCTGGGAGTGGCACACCTCACTCCCTCGGGCTCCCCATCAGCCTCCTCCAGCAGGTGGCTCTGCCTGGCTGCAGAAGCAGCGGGGAGCGGAGCGTGTGGCTGGGACAGTCGCTCACTCCAGGGGCCAGGAAGTAACAGCAGAGCAGAGGTCTGGCAGGGAGGAGGGGGCGACGTGCATTTCCAAAGCCAGCTGGCACCAAAGGCTGGAACACTGCGGCCTTCACTCCCCGAAGCCACGGCGCCTGCTCCTCCGTCAGAACAGCTCCTGCTCGTCGTCCTCCGAGCCCGACGGGCCCTGGCGCACCTCCTCGTACCACTTGTTGGTCAGGCTTTTCATCTGGATTCGGCCATGGTGGAGGTCCTGGGGCAAGAGACAGAGAGCCCCGCCAGTGGTCAGCGTCAGGGTCAGGGCGGAGGAAGAGGGGAAGCTGCTCGTGTGTTTGTGTTTGTCCACACGTGCACGTGTATGGGAACAGCACAAGCAGTGTCAGCGCTGGCCGGCCAACTGCAGCAGGGCTTTTCTGTGTGGGGCAGAGAAACAGGAGGGCAGACCTGGCACATGAAAGTCCTCTGACAGCGGTCAGAACAGCCCAAGACCACCACCCCAAACCCAAACCATTAGCCAGTCTATTATTCCACAAGCACCAAGTGCGGGAGCCAAGGAACGGCAGCGGTTGAGCCCCACGAGCTACCCAGCCCCAGGAGGATCGGGAGGAGGCACCCCCAGGTCCAGGAAGCCTCTGGCCCCCACCGCTCCCCACCCTTGGCCACTGCACGTCCCAAGGGAAGGGATGTGTGGCACCAGCCTGGGTCCCACCTCCTGCGTGAGCCTCCGAGTGAAGAAGGGGTTCAGGTACTTGGCATCCAGCCACATGAAGCCCTTGAGGTCCTGCCTCCGGATGTAGTGGGCTTCGTACTCCTCCTCAGTGAGCTCCGACAAGTGCTCAGACTCGATGGTGTTGCCCTGGGGGACAAGGCAGCCGATGGTTGTCACCTGGTATCTCTTTGGCAGCCCCCACACCACCCCAGCCTCCCTGGAAACCCTCTGTCCTGGCCACCAGTGTCCCCAACCCTAACTGTGCCAGGTGAGAGTGGGCACCGTTCCCAGGGAGCTGGGTAGGTCTGTGAGGACTCCCGATGCCCAGGCCATGCCTGGTAGCTACAGCAAAAGCCCTGGCTCTTCAGAGGTGCAGGGAGCGGAGAGGGAGCCAGTCTCAAAGCGAGGGCTGCAGACAAGGACCCAGGTAGAGGGGCGGGCGTAGGTCTCAGGTCTCAGCCGGTCTCCTGCTGCCCTAGGCCAGGGCAGCCCCATGCTTGGCAGGGGGGCCCAAAGGCCAGCAGGATCTGAGGCAGGACAGTGCTGAGGCCATGGGGCCTCCTGCCACAGTCGCCTTCCCGTCCCCTCCTGGCCTGTGCCCGAGTGCAGCAGGTGCGTGGATGTGGGGCAGTGTGCTGCAGGGGGCAGGGTTCTCAGACAGGGGCCACGTGTGCATCACCTGAGGGTTTGTTAAACTCCAAAAGATACTGGGCTCTTCATTCCCACTGCAGTGTCTGCCTTCCTAGGTGTGTGGTGGGGCCTGAGAATTTGCCTAACAAGATCCCAGGACCCCACTGGGGACACTGGTCTGAGGTGTGGGTAACAACACAGGCTCTAGAATCTGCTGTGGGACTGGATCCTCTCTGCACCTGTGAAATGGGGCCCAGGGCAGCATCTGCTTCCTGCTGCTTCTCAGTGCTGCCAGAAGACACAACAGCAGAAGGGCACTCTTTCCTCAGGAAAGGGGGCTGCAGCAGCTGCAGCACCCAAAAGCTTGTGTGACAAGCCTGGCACCCATTCTGACACCCATGAAAAGGTTTGGGAACCTATCCAAGAGGTTTTGTTAAAAGCACACAAGAAGCTGAGGATGGTGGACACACCTATAATCCCAGCACTCAGGAGGCTGAAGCAGGAAGATCACTGCAAGTTCAAGGGCAGCCTGGGCTACGTAGTGAGTTCAAAGCCAGACTGAACTACATAGCGAGATCCTGTTTTTAAACATGTGTGTGCGTGTGTGTGCGCGCGCGCACGCACACACACACACACACACACACACACACACACACACACACACAGGTTTGGTGGGGTCAGGGAGGGCACAGGCCTGCCGAGCCCAGCAGGTCAGCTGAGGTCCAGGCAGCAGCATTGGCTGAGGGGCTGGGGTGAGGCCCAGGTCCCCCCAGCCTGACCCCACTACCTAGAACAGCCACGTGAGGGTTGCGGGGCCTTTGATGACTGGCCACGGTCACTGGTGATCTCGAATGAGGGAAATGAAAAAAGATGTTTCCAGAAGGCGAGTGGGGTAGAATGCAGGAAGGTGGGAGGGGAGGTCCCAGCAGAGGCGGGGCCAGGAGGGTGGGGGCAAGAAGCAGGGGGGGCAGGGGTGGAGGAGCCCCCCCACGCACCTCCAGCCATCCTGTCCTGGGGGAGGCCACCTCTCATGGCCCTGCAGCCACTGCAAGCCACACTCCCCTCCTCCAGTACATAACAGGTCTGCAGCAAATGCTAGGGATTTTGAAACACTTCAGTGTGGAATGTGGCTGATGGAAGATGGGGCCCTGGCAGGGGAGGGAGGCGGCAAGGGGTCTAACAAGGTGCCCCCAGGCCGTGCTGGGATGCAGAAGGGGCCTGCTGGTGACCTCTGTGGCTTCGGCAGGTCATGGGTGGCCCAGCAGGTCACAGGCGATCCCAGAGCCCCAACTCAGAACACAGACTCCTCCAGCTGCTTCTCAGTCCCAGTGACTGAGCTGTTGTGTGAGGGATACCCTCGAGTGTTCGAGTGAGCATGTGGAGGTGCCGGGTGCCCTCCAGGCCCACCCACTCCCCAGCCCAGGCGGGCAGCTGTATGAACTGCCCCGGGCCCTGCTGCACTGACCATCTTCTCGGTCTTGCTGAGGTTCACGTCCTTCTTGCTCCTGCGGCGGGCCTTGGCATCCTCAATGTCCATGAGGCGGATGAGGGGCATGGTGCTGCCACCCAGCAGCAGGATGGTGAAGAGCACAATGACGATCGTGGTGGTGCCAATGAGCTGTCGCTTCTCCATGGGCTCCAGGTCCAGGTGCAGGCTCAGGGCATAGGGAATGGCACCCCGCAGGCCTGAGGGGACAGCACAGGCGTCAGGGGAGGGAACGTGGGAGGTGGCAGCTTCCCTGGCTAGGTTCAGCCTGGGATCATGGACGCTGGGACACTGGGACAGGCCTGTGGGGAGGCTGGGAGGGTGCAGAGGGCCAGCTGCAGAGTAGGGACAGCCTGAGTGGCCCGCATCCATGGCCCAGCCTGGCCGAGACATCCGGTGAGGTAACCTGGTGCAGCTACAGTGCACCTGGCACTTGTGCGGGTAGCCACTGAGCCTATGACTCGAGTGACAGCTGCTGTGGGCCTCGCAGTCCTGTGTGTGTGTGTGTGCGCGCGCGCGTGTGCGCGGGCACCCCAGGCCCTGTGCTATGTGCTCTTCATGCTCAGTGTCATTGATGGTCCCAGAGGAAGGCCTGGTCAGTGGGACCTCGATGGAGCCCAAGGCCAGAGAAGAGGTGAGTCCCTTCAGCAAAGCACAGACCATGGGTCCAGCAGCAGGAAGCTACCACCTGTGGGTCAGTGTGGGAGGAGCCAGGCAGAACCTGGGGAGACCCACCCCAAGGGGAGAGGGGAGGACCTGTGGCGGGGCGGTGGGAGAGGAGGGCAAGCCCAGACCAGAGGCCAGGAAGGGGCCGACTGGTGCCCAGCAGGTCTGGCAGCAGGAGGTTGCTGGGGACTTAGGTGAGGCCAGTTCTAGTGCAGCAGATGGGAGGTGACAATGTGGAGAAAACAGTGAGGTCCACCCAAGAGGTGTGTATGTGACCAAGGGACAGGAGAGCAGGAGCTGCTGGAGGGGACAGGGACAGGACTAGGTTGAAGTTGCTGGTTTTCTGCTGGGAAAGCAGAGCGTGATAATGAGAGGAGCTGGGAGAGGTGGGAACCCCTGGAGGGGGACCTGCCCCACCTGGGGGGGACCTGCCCCACCTGGGGGAGACCAGGAGCCTCCCCATCTAACATCTGGCCCTGAGGGCTCTTCCATCACGCCCCTCGCTCCCAAGGATCGGACACCTTGCTTCGATTTTCTTGGAGATTGTCAAGACCTTGGATTAACTACTTCACAGTACATTTTTTTCCTCATTAGCAAAAATGAGGAAAAAAATGAGTTTCTCTCACTATATATGAATATATATATATATTCACATACAAATATATCAAACACACTTTTTTTTTTTTTTATTTACAGTACTGGGGATTGAACTTGGGACCTTGCGGCCCCACTGAGCTAAATCCCCGGCCTTCAAACACACACATATATATATATTTTTTTGGTACTGGGGATCGAACTTGGGTCCTTGTGCTTGCGCAGCAGGTGGCAAAACCACTGAGCTAAATCCCCGGCCCAAACACACATATTTTTGAAACAAAGCTTTTTCTTGGTACCGGGGATCGAACTCGGGTCCTTGCGCTTGCGCAGTGAAACAAAGCTTTTTGAAAAGAGAAATATGAGACAAATTTACAGATACACTTTGGAGAAAGAACATTATAAAGCATGTTGCTATGTTCAAATCCACATGAAATATTCCAATTATAATATTTAAGCTATAAAGAACTCCATGGATTCCTCAAAAACAAATTTAAAGCACTGGGGATGCAGCTCAGTGGTACAGCGCCTGCCTGGCAAGCATGAGGCTTTGAGTTCAATTCCTGACACCAAAAAAAAAAAAAAAAAGGATGACTAAAGATCCAGTTCTTTAGGACCCAAAGATTTATAAAATCATTTTCAAATTTGAAAAAGTAGAGAAATATGCTTGAACAGCAGCTGAAACACAAACTATCAGACTTTTGTGACAAAGGAAAAAATATCCCACAGTAGCACAGGGGTTGGAGTGTGGCTCAGGGGTAGAGTGCTTGCCTAGCATTTGTGAGGTCCTGTGTTCCATCCCCAGCACTGTAGAAAAGTTTCAACTTTCACCTTTTAGAATTTTGAGCCACTTATTACTTCAGTCTAAAAAACCTGGAAGTGAGGGCTGCACCAACTGCCAAGGAAAAGGATGGGGGGAGAAACAGCAAGTCCCAGCTCTGCCTCCAAGGGCCACGGGAGCCAAGCGTGGGCGCCTGAGCTTCCTCGAGTGTGGCAGGTGTGGGCCGCCCTGTTCACCGCACCGGCGGGAGCCTGGATAAGTAGCACCTGTTCATGGGGACCTTTATTGTTTTTGGCACGGGAGGCAAACGGGTTCCCGAGGGCTCCGGCAGGTCACTCAGGCCCCCTCTGCACACTTGCTTCTCCCAGGTCCCCTCCCTCCACCTGCCTGACCACTGCTCCACTTACCACTGAACCACATGATGAACATCATCTTTGGTGTGATCTTATGATCCCGGAAGAAATTCAGGAGGTAGGAAAGAGGGAAAATGTTGACTGCTCGGCCAAACAGCACGAGCACCTGTTAAGAGCAACAGACTGTTAGTTGAAAAATGTCCTGCTGGGCTGGGGATTTAGCTCAGTGCCACTGCACCTACCTGAAAAGTGCAAGATCCTGAGTTCAATCCCCAGTACTGAAAAAAAAAGAAAACGTCCTTCCGGCTTCTCCAGCTGAAGCCTGTCAAGGCTGACGCAGACCGGGTGAATGGCCCATTACAACATGAAAGGCAAGAGGAACACGGTGGCAGGCGAGACCTGGCCTTGTGTGCTGCGCGAGACACTGGTTTATGTGCCTGTATGAAGCTTTGGGCGTTGTTCCAGAAGGAAAGCCCAATGCAGTAATGACACAGAACACTGAGGGATGCCCAAGGCCGTGCAGAAAGGGCCACAGTGGATTTCAGGGCCTCCTGGCGGGCAGCTGCACTAACCTCCCACCAGGTGGGCGCTGCAGGAACAGGTACTGGGAATTGAACCCAAATTCTTTGCACTGAAGTACTTCTCCAGTCGTTTCTTACTTTTATTATGAGACAGTCTCACTAAGTCCCTAAGTTGCCCAGGCTGGGCTTCAACTTGTGAACCTCCTGCCTCAGCCTCCAAAGTCCTGGGATTACAGTTGTGTGCCACTACACCTGGATGACAGACAAGGTGTTTCTGCTTCTCCTGTGGGGCCTGCTCCTCTGACAAGGAGAGAGTATCCCAAGGGCCAAGGAGGCAGGATGGAAATGACCTCTGAGCTAAAGGAACTCATAAGTGTGTTCCAAGAGAAGGCCACACACCCTGGCCTAGCCAGTTGCCGCCATGCTTTCTGGTTCCTACCATCTCCGCAGGCAAGTCAGCTGTAGCAAAAAATAGCCTTCTGGGGCCAGGGGTGCAGCTCAGTGGCAGACCACTTGCCTAGAATACCTAGTCCCATCCTCAGCATCGCCAAAGAAACCCAAACAAATTACAGCTTTATGTACAAAGTTTAAATCTCACCCAAGTGATGGCTTTGAACTACTTATTAATTTACTTTCATTTTCATCTTGGTTCTCCCATAGCTAACTTTTTTTTTTTTTGGTACCAGGGATTGAACTCGGGACCTTGCACTTTCGAGGCAGGCGGCAGCACCATTGAGCTAAATATCCCCGGCTCCCCCATGGCTAACTTGAAGAGGACAGACACACACACATTCTTTCCTCAAGGGTGAAAGAGCGTGCCTTCAATGGTCAGGTTAACAGCTGCTCCCAATTAGCCAACTCTTCTATGCCAGACAATGTGCTAAGCATCTGACATCCTCTCTATGGGGCTAAATTTAAATCCTCGCAATAGTTTTATTGTCTCCCACTTTACAGATAGGAAATGGAGGCACAGAGAGGTTAAGCAACTGGTCCAAGATGACTAGACAGGAGAGGTGGATGCAAAATGTGCTCAGATCAGAAAGTGCCCTAGGCCACCGACCAGAGTTTGAGGCTGGAACCCTAACCCACACCCCACAGGCGCCTCCTTGCCTAGGAGCCAGCTGCACTTGGTGGCTCAAGGAAGCTGAGTGACTGCCTGTGGCTGAGACAGTCACTTCTATTTTGCCCACCGAAATCCAGTCTCCATTCCTACATTTGGGTTTTGGCTCCCACCAAATGCGCCCCCTCCACGCAGTGACCACACTAAGGACCGTTAGGAGCTCTGTAAAGACTTCTCCTGCTGCTCTCCTGTCCTGAAACCAGAGTGTGGGGACAGATGGCTGCAACACATGGCAGTGAACTGTTGCCGGCGGGAAGCAGAAGCACCCGGACAGCAAAGTGAGTGTCTTTAGTGCCCCTTATCTTCTGTGTCTCAGTTTTTCCATGTGCCCGACAGGTCGGCCTCACAGTCTGCACATGGTACACTTGTCTGGCACACGGCAGGGTGACAGTGCTTAAAAAGAAAGTTTGCTTCCTAATAGCTGGGTTCTGCCAAGTGGCAATGCAGGCTAACTGGAGATGAGTTCCGCCTACTCAACAGTAAGGTGTGCCTCATCTGCACCTTGCAGGAACAGGAGCTAGGGATCAGGTTACGGATTAGCCTGGAGTGTGAGTCAACAGCAGGGCCTGCGGGGCCAGAGCTCACAAGAAGGGAAGAGACAGAGGAGGAGAGCAGATGAGGCGCCTGGGCCAGATGTCATTAATGTAACTCGGATTAGACACTCCAGGGAGCTGACCTCTCTTTAAATGCTAGACACTTATTTCTCCCACTTCATTCCCAAAAAGGATTTGATTCTACTGCAGATGATTACATTTGGATTGGTTTCCTGCTGCTACTGCCAGTCTAGTGGGAACAGTTTCCCAAATCCTGATCATCGGAGCTGCTTCTCCTGGCTGATGCCCGGGGAGAGAAGGGCCTAGGACTCTTGGATGAAGCATCCGAGGTCATGCTTATAGACACACTGAAGTAAAACTGAGTGAAGTAAGTATATTCATTATAAATTATCCAGAAAAAGTAGGAAAGAAAAAAAAATGTCCAGTTTTACAACCACTGTGAACATTTGGCAGTATTTTTTTCTATACACAATATTTTTACATGATTATAATCGTTAATCAATTTTGAAATATGCTTTTACCATCAAACCAACCAACCAACCAACCAAACAAACCATATAAACTTATACTATCACATTCAAGACCACTGAAAATTGAAAAAAACAAGAGTCCTTTTCCAGGGATATTCATTCATTTAATTCTACCCCTTACCTCCTTATTATATGTTTGTGATTTTTTTTTTTAACAAGAGACTTTAAACAGAAGAGTGTCTATGTAGCTGTTGACTTTGACCAGTTAACAGTTACATAAATAAATTCAAAACGTGGTTATTGATCTACGAATAAGCAATAAATAAAATAACAAGGAAAATACTTACTATGCACCAGATGACAAAGGAAATTTCAAGCTTGTGAGGGAAACTAAAAATAGACAGGCCAAGAAATGCAAACACACATGTTTCTGAAACAAACCAAAGAATGGATTATTCAGCCCTAACTATTTTCTTACAATACACTGCTAAATTGTTAAGCAAGCAAACATTCAGATGTCCCAATCCAATATAACACTATTTTCTGAAAAATCTGTAACCAATACCTCGGGCAAATGTTATACTTAGATTCTCTCATTCTCTCTCTCTCTCTCCCTTTTTCCCTCTCTCTTCTCTACCCCCCTTCTCCCCTGTTGTCAGCTATTCAGAATTCCCCAATGTAATGAGTCAACTGTCAATTACTTCTTCAAATAAACACTAGTCCACCCTGGGAAGATGATAAACATAAGAATCTCCCCATTTGCTGAACACTGTGATTAGCCAGGATCCGGACAGGGACAAAGTGGCAAAAATTCAAGCAAATGAGGCAGGCGCCACATGACAAGTATGAAAGGGCCTTTTGTTAACTTCCTTGCCAGCCAGTGCAGAGAAAGCCAAATGATTGCCTTGACATAGCTAACTCAGTCAGCCACACGGTTCAGAGTTCAGAGTGCAGTTCAAGCCTGGACCACAGGAGACCGGTTTCCAGCTCTCTGCTCTGCAAACCAAAGGAGCGGATGCTGGCTCTGGGCTTCCATGCATATTTTAAGAAAAAGTGCCCTATAAATGTCTAGGCTCCCTGCCTAAACTATAACATCCCCCAGAACAGCCCAATAATTAAAAAGACATAGACTGTGTATTTTAAAATAGTTGAACATCATAAAACAAGTGGGGTTGTTTAAAACATTTCAGCAATTTTTTTTCTTAAAATGTGTATCTTTTTAAAAACAACTGACAGTATACTTCCCTTTCCCCTCCTTGAAAATTTTTTATTTTAAATATTTTTGTGATCAATTCCAGTGCATGTAGAACACATTCATATCTAATTTGTGCTTTTCCCTGACAGCATAAATTCTAGAACATGGATATATTGTGGTTAATTATTATTTTGGGGGGGTACCAGGGATCAAACTCAGGACCTTGCAGTTGCGAGACAGGCACCAGAACCACTGAGCTAAATCCCTGGCCCCATTAATTATTATTATTATTATTATTATTATTTTGGTACTGGGGATAGAACTCCAGTCCTTGCGCTTGCAAGGTGGCAGAACCACTGAGCTAAATCCCCGGACCTATTAATTATTATTTTTGAGACACAGTCTCACTAAGTCATTATGTTGCCCAGGCTGGGCTCTAACTTGCAATCCTCCTGCTTCAGCTTCCCAGGGTGCTGGGATCATGGTTAATTTAACCCATTCTCTGTGGAGCGATATCTCGACTATCCAGACCAATGCTACAAATGAGTCTCCAAAAGAGACTGCCCAGTGTACACACTTGCTCCCTGGGCCTGGTTTCTAGTACCCACGACAGAACTAAATCTGCCAACCTATCAATTTCCCAATTTGACTGATGGGTACAAAACAGAATTTTTGTTTTTTCATTTTTGTTTTGAGACAGGGTCTTGCTCTATAGTTCAAGCTGGCCTGGAACTTGGTATGTAGCCCAGGTTGGCTTTGATCTTGCAGGGATCCTCTTGCCTCAGCCTCCTGGGTGCTGGGATTATAGGTGTGTGCCACCATACCTAGTTTACAAAACAGAATTTGATGGATATATTGCTTTTAGTTCTCTTAATTGTGAAGGCCAGGGTCAGAATCTTTTGGCTTGGCTTTTGAGGAGGGTGCTGTGGAGTAAACACACAGTAAACACACAGGAATAGAGGCCTGGCTTCTAGCCCCTGGTGGTGCTGAGCCATCTGACCTTCCTCACCTGAGTCTCCTTTCTCTGCAAAGCCAGCACCTCCCTTCTGGCAGGTGGCACAGTGCTACTAGGGCTTCAAAAGGGGATAAGGCCCAGAAAGAGGGGCTGCTGGCGATGGGAGCTTAAAGGGACAGTGTGAGAGTGGCTTCTTTACTCCAGGTCGGAATGGGGAGGAGCCTCTGTGGGAGGCCGGGGAGGGGACAAGAGCTTAAACTGCCCCCGCCTAACAGAAGGCTCCTGGGGTCTATCTCAGTGCAGCCAGGGTCCTCCCGCTGCGAAATCCCCAGGCTTGCCCTTGGATGCTCTTATCAGGGCTCTGAAGACACACCTGGGAAATGTGGACAACTGTCCCCCTTTGACACTCACAACGATGAAAAGTCTTGCAGTCCAGAATCTACTAAATGTTAACCCAGGATTCCCTCCATTCTTTTTTCACTCGGGAGCCTTTGTCATCTAGCCATCATCAATATCATTTCCAAGGAGTACATTTTTGGAAATGTCACTTTCCTACATTAGAAACACATGTCTCAAATGTGCATCATTAGTAGTTTGCATTATTTTTGGTCTTAAAATTGTTGGCATCAAATGTTCCATTTATCAGGTGGTAGGCTTACTTTATGGAACTGCAAAGCTGCAGGGACAAGCACAGGATAAGGGGCCGGTTGTCCTGCTGGCAGGGGACACCTCAGCAGACCCCTGCAGCAGGGCAGGAAGCTGATTTGCTCTGGGTGGGTGAACTCTTGGGGACACTGAGGCTCGACTCACCGCACAAGAAGGCCACGGTCCGGAGGGTTTGCTGCATGAGGATCTGGGTGACTGGGGAGAGGTTGTGGTGCGTGTAGTGCGACATCACGATGCCTGAGAAAAGGATGGCCATGATGCCTGCAGGGGGACAGAGGAGCAGAGCGCACAGGCCTGAGCACACAGAAGAGCACTTGCTTGCCACACCCACACTGGACGCACACTCCTCCACGGCCCTGCAGCCTGGAGCCTGGAGCCTGGAGGATTAGGAAGAAGGAAACAAAACCTGAGGCTTCCCAGAGGCTACAGAAAGCTAACAAGGGCCCCGTCTTGCTTCGGTACCAGCTGGGTGACCGTGGGCAACCTTTGTCCCTTCTCTAAGCCCGTTTTCTCATGTTGGGAATGTCGCCAAGGACAGGCCACGTGAAGTGGCTGTCACAGGACCAGGGCTGAGCAGTGTCCCCATCACTGCCATCCTCGGGTGTAAGGGGCAGTGAAGCACTGGGGAGCGTGCCTAGGAATCTGGGCATGGAGAATGGGCAGCTTTTAATGGATTTTCCTTTTTTCTTTTTCCCGGTGGTACTGGGGATTGAACCCAAGGCATCTGCACTGAGCTGCACCCCCAGCCCTTTTTATGTCATTTATTTATTTATTTTCCATTATTTATTTATTTTTGGTACTGGGGATCGAACTTGGGTCCTTGTGCTTGCGGGGCAGGCAGCAGAACCACTGAGCCAAATCCCCAGCCCTGCCTGTCATTTTTAATGGATGTAACAAGGGAATCCAAGTCTAAACGGCAGTAAAAAGGCATCCTGGTACAGTTTCCACCATGAATGAAGTCTGCCATACTTCTTGAGGGCCGAGTCAAACCATATTTGGTCTTCTTTGTTAACTGCCCAATAAAAAATATATTTTGCTATAAAACATTCAGATCCATCAAGGCATAGAGTGAAACTGAATTCCTGGAGGTAACTATTATCAACACCTCCATGTGCAGATTCCCAGTACTTTTAATACGCAATGATAAAGTCTACCTGTCTTTAAAATGGGGTCATAGTACACAGCAGCAGAGTGATTTTTTTCAAAGGCCTTTGACTCTTATCTTTGCTCTAGAAGAAAATCCTAACTCCTCCCCAGGCCTAGAGAGCCCTGCAGGTCGAGGTCCACTGTCCCAGCCAGGCTGTCTCCCTGCTTCGTGGGGCCCGCCCAGCTTCACTCTCCTCCCCAGGGCCCTGGACACCTGCTGCCCACACCACCTCCCCTGACAATGCCTCGCACTGCACAGGTCTGGGCTCTGGTGCCACCACCTTCGAGGGTACCTTCCTGCCTGCCCAGGTCTGGGTGTTTTCTCCACCCTCCTAGCCTGTCACATGACTGATTTTGTCTCTTTGAGTCATTTCTCACTGTGCACGGTCACTGCCTGTTTCTTACATACTTACTGTCTTTCTTCTGCAGGCAGGAACCTGATCTGGTCTTGGTTATTACTGTAGCCCCAACAGCAAGGACAGTTCCCAGCACAGGGTAGACATTTAAAAAGCACTTGTTGAATGGGTGGAAGAACAGTTTAGCTTACTTTCTTAAAATTTAACAGTATGTCTTGGGATTCTTCCCATGGCAGGGCCTCACAGAAGCTAGGCAAGCCCTCCACCACTGTGCTACACTCTCAGGCCTAAAGTTCACCTTTTATGTGGCTGCATAGTCGCCATAGTGACAACAGACTGGAGCTTGATCTTTTTCATTACTGGAGAACATTCAGGTGCTTCCAATTCATCTCTTACATGCAGTGCAGCAATGGCATTCCCTGGATACACACGGTGCAGACCAAGGCTGTACAATTCAGTCCATCTTTGGCCAACACAGTGCCAACACTTTCCAGAAAGTGTTACACCCCGATCAATCCATCATGTCATCCTCCCACCCACAATGTGCCCTCCTTTGTGACTCATCTTGACACTGTCTCTCACACCAGTCCAGCTTTTGCTAGGCTGTCTAAAGGGAAAGCTATAGCCTATTCACCTTTGAATCTTCACAACCAGAGGGTACAGAGGCCCTAAAAACTAGCTTGGATGAACAATAAAACTAGTTAACAAGCCGGTTTGGTGGCACACACCTATAATTGCAGCACTCAGGCTGAGGCAAGAAGATCACAAGTTTGAGTCCAGCCTCTGCAACTTACTTAGTGAGACCCCGTCTCAAAACATGAAGAGGGGTTGATGATGTAGCTCAGTCTATCAGTGTGAAGGCCCTGGGCCCAACCCTCAGTGCTAGAAAAAAAAGTTCACGCTGACACGATTAGAACAAAGATGCTGAGAACAGATAACACCAAGTGATGGAAGGCTAATTTGCTATTGAAACCACAAAATTTTTTTTTTTTGGTACTGGAGATTGAACTCGGGACCTTGCACTTTCGAGAAAGGCGGTGGCACCTCTGAGCTAAATCCCTGGCCCAAAAACCACAAAATTTTTGGAAGGGGTTGTTACTAATTCATCATGTTGGCACAACGGGGCAAGGCAGGTAGTAAGACTAGCAATAATACCCCTTCTGTCCAGACGTGCCTTGGGCTGACCCTGACATTACATCTTCTTCATGATGAGGAAGCGGAAAGCTCAGAGGGGCCAGTCTGCAGGCTGAGGTCACATAGTGACTGGGAGGCAGAGCTGGGGCTGAAGTCAGCCAGAGCCCTAAGCCTTATCCACCGCGCTCTGAACGCGTGGGCTTCGGTAAACTGTTTGCAATTCCTAGGAAGAGAGGGCCTGCTCCACAGTCTTGTTTTTTTTTGGTTTTTTTGGGTACCGGTGATCGAACTCGGGAACTTGCACTTATAAGGCAGGCGCCAGAACCACTGAGCTAAATCCCCGGCCTTGCTCCATGGTCTTGAAGACCACCCACTGCCGGTCCTTTGTGACAATCAGGAACAAAGACGCACAAACAGGAAGGGGAAGACAGAAAGACTGCCGCCCCTTCCTGTGTGTGCTCCTGCTGAACAATTTGGAGGCTCCCCACTACATGAGAGGGCCATGTAACTCCTCTAAAAACCCCGAATGACCAGTATCCCTAGGTAGCGAGTCGGCAGAGCTGGTGCCCTTCCCCGACTAAGGTGCATGTTCGGGGCCAGCATAGCTCTCTGGCCCCATCAGCTTGAGCAGCAAACCCCTCCACATAGAAAACACTGCCGCTTAGGAGAAAAGACAGAAAAACACTCCTGGGGCCGGGGATTTAGCTCAGTGGTTCCGGTGTCTGCCTCGAAAGCTCAAGGTCCCAAGTTCCATCCCTGGTACCAAAAAAAAAGAAAAACAGGGCTGGGGATTTAGCTCAGTGGTTCCGTCGCCAGCCTCGCAAGCACAAAGTCCCGAGTTCAATCCCCAGTGCCAAAAAAAAGGAAAACCACTCCTTTGTTTTAATTATAAATTCTAAACGGATGCATGAATCTCTCTTTGCCAACAGGTGCTCAATGCTAATCTCGAGGGGATAGAGGAGAAATTTAGAAAAACAGAGGTAAAAATAGCCAAGCTAGAGCCCAATGACTCTCTGTAAGCACCAAAACTGAGTAAAGGTAAGAGAGGAAACCCGATGGCAGATACCAGGATGAAATTATCCTTGTGAGCTGGCTCAGGATTAAGAACAAAAGCCTGAGGTTTACGAGGTCTCCAGGGAAAATGGCACAGGCCTCCCTGCTTCCTGCTTCGCAAGATGTGCCCGGGGAGCAAGGCAGCTGGCTCCAGAGAATGGGCTCGGGAAGGGGACCTCCCTTCACCAGTCAGCAGAAACCTCTGGGTTCCACTTTGCCCACGAAGAATGACTGCAGTACCACTGCTGCCCAGCATAAGCAGAGAACCTGAAACAAGGTATTCAACCAAACTGTCTTCTGATCCTGGACAAAAGGCAGGGTAGGACTGCGATTCCTAGCAGAAGGACGCTGGGTGGTTTCCTGTCCCCAGGCCCCTGCCCATGCTTCCTGCCTGGAAGTGAGCCCCAGCTGAGAGGCTGGGGGAGGCAAATCCACAAAGCCCAGCAGTCTGTCAGGCTGTGGTGAGGAGACCAGGAGGGAAGCAGAGCCGGGCAGCTGTGCAAAAAGAGCTCTGGATCCACCACGAAGTCCTCTGAAAGCTTGGGTGCATCGTGATCTGTGCAAGTGAGGAAATTCCAAGCGGCTAGGGAAAGAACCGCTAAGAAATAGGTCCACCAATTCCGGAAGCTGACATGGGGCAGCCCCAAGCCCCATTAGTGACCTCACAGGACATGGGGTAGGGCTCTCAGCAGTCTACTGGGGACCCACCCAGCAAAATATGAAACTCATCGCCAAGAAGACTAAATGGATCCCAAGAGACTTAGCTATGTCCCAGGAGAAAAGCCCAGAACTATATATAGGAAGACATAAGTTCATAGTGACTGGCATCCAATCAAAAATTAACAGCAAAGGGCAGGAAAACATGACCTATCAGCAGGACCTAGGCTGGACAGAGGTGAAGGCGTTAGCCAGTAAGGAGCTTCAAACAGCTCTTCTAACTGTGCTTCGTATGCTCAGGAACCTAGAAAAGAATGGGACAGGGACAGGACGAAGGGAGAAACAAAGGGAACATCTGTAGATGATGCAATACAGTATCCAAAATGAGAAATACAGGAGATTCCACATGGGGAAGAGTGAACTTGAAGACACCCTCATAGAAGCTAACAAAAATAAGGCATACAGAAAACAAAGAAGAAAATAAAATGACTGTGAGCCAGTAGCATGCAATGTATTGTGGCTGGGGGCCCAACAGGGAAGCAGAGGGAGAACTGAAAAAAATGTGTAAATAAATGGGTAAAATTTACTAAATTTGATGAAAGATATATACTCAGATAAATATAAAACAAAAAGTGCAATGGGCTTCCAAGCAGAATATAAAGAGGCTCATACCAGAGTACTTTTAAATAGAACTGCTATACACCTGACAGGATGGCTAAACTTTTAAAAAATTAAAACAAGTGGTGCAAAGCAACTGGATTGCTCTCACATTCTGGTGGAACAGAAAAACGATAGTCACTTTGAAACATACTTGGCAGTTCCTAATGAAGTTATGTATTTACCAAATGACCCAGCAACCTAACGTTGAGGCATTTACCCAAGATAAATGAAAACATATAAATGTTCACAGTCCAAAGGTCCTTCAGAAGGACAGGGAGACGAGGGGCAGAAGGAATGTATAAACTATGGTATGTGCAGAAACATAAACATTTCTCAAAAACATAATTAAAGGAATGAGACATGAAAGACTATGTACCCTAGGGAAACCACAGTGAGAGAACGCAGTGAGGTCAGCAGGGAACACGTGGGGTTTGGGTGAGGGAGCATTCCACATCTTGACCGTGGTGGCTACACGACTGCCTGTATTTGTCACAGCCTGCAGAACTGCATAATTAGAATGGGTGTCGTTTACTATAGGCAAATTATATTTCAACAAAGATGAAAATAAAGACAAAGAAAAAAGCTTCCTGTGGCAGAGATCAAACCAGCTGCTCAATGGTGCCATTTTCCAGAACTTGGCCTGTGCAGGGCTTTCACTGGAAGATATCTGGATGTCCCCGGCAGAGCCCTCTCTACTTGGGGGCACCCCACACACATACAAGGAAGGCAGGGGCCATGCTCCTGCCGCCCATTTCTGGGTCAGCACCTTTACAATCTAACTGTGGACACAGGCTCAACCTCACTTGGGGCAAGCCTATGGGCGGGGGCCGCTGACAGGCCCAGGACAGGGAGGGCTCCAGGACCTCCAGTGAGTCCCATCCTGTAGCTGTGAGCACCATGTTCTAGGGCCCCCTGGTTGTGGGAACTGCACATCCTCCTCCCTTGGGGTCCAGGGAGATGGCATGGGGTTGAGATTGTCATCATGTGAATCTCACGGCCACCTCTTACTATCTATCTGTACAGCCTTGAGCTGGTGACCTGTCTTGGCTCCTCCTGCCTGCTCTATGGGTGGTGGAACCGTTAAAACTGAGTGCAAACTGGACACAGCAGCACATACTACTCTGTCTTGAAAAACAAGGCAGAACAAAATAAAGCCTTAATACGGGTTTACTGTGACAATGCATCCCAGTGAGGCATCACCACTGCACGGACACACTGCCTGTCCCCCAGCCAGCCGGTCTATGTGGTTTCAAAATGAGCCAAGAGGAGGGAACTGTCGGAGGAGCATGAAGAGCATGCATTCTTCTGTTCTGTTTTTTTGAGGTGGAGTCTCACGAAGTTGCCCAAGCTGGCTTCGAACTTGTAATCCTATCTTGTCCTTCCAAGTGGCTGGGACCACAGGTGTGCCACACTGCACCTGGCTTGAGTGTCAGATTTTTTTTTTTTTTTTTGAGCTAGGTCTGCTGGCTATGTAGTCCAGGCCAGCCTTGAACTTGCTGTGTAGCCCAGCCTGGCCTTAAACTCTATCCTGCCTCGCCTTCCGGTGCTGGAATTACAGGCGTGTGCCACCTCCCCTGAGGTAAGCATCAGTTCTTTTTATGTGTTGTTGTTTTTGAGACAGGGTCTCACTATGTAGTTCAGGCTGGCCTCGAACTCATGGTAATCCTGCCTCTGCTGGGATTATAGTCATGTGCCACCACACCCGGCCTAAGCATCAGTTCTTGAGTCAAGACAACCATCTATGAGTAGTTTTTCCACCAGTTCCAGCTAGGACCCTGGGCCAATGTATTTAATCTTCCTCAACCTTGGGTTTTCTCATCAGTAAAACAGAAATCTTTAGAGTATTTCCTTCCCACAGGCTACCTACTTGGAAAGGAGGATCATACCGCAGTTGAGGATCAATGATGGAAAGAAAAGAACTGTGGCTATGACACCAGTGTGACTCTTTGAGCGCCTAGATCCAGCCAGGCCTGAATCCAGAGTATTACCCCTGGGGACCAACAAATCCTACTATAACCTAGGTTCTTCTGAGAAGTGACTCATCTCTCGGGACACAAAGTGACCGACTGACAAAAGCTCTTTCACCAGGGGGGACAACCAGCCATTGCCACAGCAGATCTAGGCCTCTGTCGCTTACCTGAGAGAGAGATTCCTTCTGCAAGCCCATATGGCAGATAGGCAAAAATGATCATCATGCCAAACTCCAAGGAAGGGGTTTTCCTCAAGTCAATGTGCTTTAACACGTAAATGGTAACTGTCAAGGAAAAATGCTCCGGGCCACTTGAGGGGGAGATGCAAAGATGTCACCAAAGTGCTGCTTCCAAATACATAAACAAATACAACACACTTTGAATATTTCAAAGTTACAACTGAAAATTTATTATTATAGAATTTTTCCTTTGTAAAGAGACATATATATATATAAAAGGAATCTGACAAAATACTAAGGAATTCCTGAGACAAATGGTGGGGGGGGGGATGAAAATCAGCCTAAGTCAAGTCCTATGGGCTGAGGATGAGCTCAGTGCTACAACACTTGCCTAGCACTTGCAAGGCCCAGGGTTCCATGGCCAGTACCGAAGGAGAAACAAAAGCCAGCAAAGAGGGCAGGGGTGTGCTGGCCATGCCAGGGCTGCAGACACGCTGGGAATGGCCTGCACTGCTAGGTCCCCTCCCACTACCTTGCAGGACACCAGAAGAGATCACCCAGGGGCAGCCGCCACCTTGCCTTGCGGGGATCCAATGTCCTGCTGAAAGACCGCTGCCCCTGTTACTGGCCATTTACACACTCAGGGCCCTGTGGAAGCAGCCTGTGTATACTCAGATAGTGCTCACAAAGCCTGTTCTGGAGCTCAGAGTCCCCATTTACTTGGCTTCATGACAATACAGGCTTTCTGAAAGAGATAAATATGGAGGAAAATACTGAACTGGAAAAAGTTTCCTCTTCATTTTTGTTCTGTTTATTGGTACAATATGAGAAGCTGTCAGCCAACTCCACAGAGCTTTTAACTTCTGGACAAAGGAGCTGATGCAAAAACTCAACAGAATGGCAGAAAAACACGCCTGTAGCCAGCAAAGCCTTTTCCGGCCATCTGTGAGACAAACTGCTGTGTCCCGGGGACACAGCCCAGGCGTGTACTGAAGTGGTCTGGTGCCTGGCCCTATTTTAAACAGGATGAATTTTCAACAGCAGTAAAGGTGTCATTGCCTTAACAAGCCCTTCCTTCTTTGGCTCAAAAAGCTCATGGGTTAAGCAACAAAACCTGCAAATAACTTCGATGGAGCTCACTCTGGAAAGCCCCTTTTCCAATCCTTCCAGATAATCATGTTCAGTAAGGTAAAGACTTTTTAAAATTTCATTTTGAAAGAAAATTAATTTCCAGTTTTCTGAATGTGTAAACAGAGACAGCAGAAAAGGAATGCATGTGAGTATGGTGACTGCCCTCTGGTAACTAAGAAGTCCCCCAAGTCACACCTCATATCCAGCAGTTTATGTGCTTTTCAACTTTGAAAAGTGACACGATATATTTCTTATGGTCTATTTATTTACTTTTGGTACCGGCGATCAAACTCGGGTCCTTGAGCTTTCGAGGCAGATGGCGGAACCACTGAACTAAATCCCCAGCCCTTCGTATGCTCAATTTAAAAATCCTTGAGTTTAAACTAGGGTGTTTCTCAAACCAGAACTTGGCATAAAAATCTTCCTTTAAACAAAACCTTAGATTAAAATTGGCCCCCCAAGGAACAGGAGAAAATAGCTGGAGAAGGATGTAATCAAGAGGAATCTCCTCCGCACCACGTGTTCATCACATTAAAAGGATATTAATGCAGAAATTAAGCCAGTCAGAGTGCCAAGTGCTGAGGAGCCAAAGAACATTTTGAGGAAGTAGCCAAGGGCTTGTAAAAATGTTTGCCACCCACTGACATCCGACATATTTTTTCTTGTTAAACCTTCAGCTGTGCTAGGAAACAGAATACAGAAAGAAATTAAAATGTTATAGACAAAATTCTCAGGCATTAATTTATGAAAAGCTTATTTCTTGGGGTTTTTTGTTTGTTTGTTTGTTTTTTGGTACTGGGATTGAACTTGGGACCTTGCACTTGCAAGGCAGGTGGTGGAACCACTGAGCTAAATCCCCGGCCCTTATTTCTTTTTTATTCACTCTTTTGTTCATTCCATCATTCAGTCAGTCAAACATATATTTGCTCACTTACTTTGTCCCAGGTACGATGTTAGTTTCCTGGGGCTCAGAGATAAGAGCAAAGTCTGTGCCCTGAAAGAGCTCCCCTAAGACTAGTGAGGGAGAAAAGCAAGATGAGAGCCCATGCCAATCTGGGGGAAGAGTTCACCAGGTTTCAAAGAAATGAGGGAAGACACCCCTCCCTGGGGGAGGTGCATATGCAAAAGCAGGGAGACAGGGAGCCCAAGACAGACGCCCATGTCATGAAACATTTGTGTGCACACACGGTTAGTGTGGCTGAAACACAGGGAGCGGGATGGAGCGACAGTGGGAGGCCCAAGGCTGGTGCTGGTGCTTCACCCTGAAGGCCGGGAGCCAATGGGAAGTGGTTTCAGTAGGGGGAGCCTACAGTAAAACCTGAGGCTGAAGCCCTGGCTACAAGTCCAGGGGAAGCAGCATCAGGGGTTTTTGGCTAAGAGGAAGGAGTTGGGTATTAAGGAGGAAGAACTGAAGGAACTTTCCTTTCACTGTAATTGAACAAAATAAAATGTCAGAAGCCATTAAATATAATTGCCTGTTTTATCCCCAGAGAGAAGCATCACGGCATCCACACGAAGCTGCCATAAACATCCTCCTCCTACTCAGTCCTCCGGATTCTCAACTCTGTCCTCTCCGGTTTGTGCATCACCCCCACCAGTCCTCAACTCTCAACTGTGTCCACGTCTCTCCCTCTCCCACGATCCCCCATGCCAGGCAGGGGCTGCTGACCTTGCTATGGTCACCCCTGTCTTGCTGTCACACAGGATCTGCACTTAGCAGCCCGAGTGACCCCTTTAAAGTCACACCTGGGCTGTTACCGGCCTGCTCCACACTCCACAGCAGTTTTCTATGGCTCTGGGAGGAAGCCCAGTCTTAGCATGAACTGGATCCCTCACCTCTCTGACTCCCCACTCAGGGTGGGGCCGTGGTCCTGGCACCTCCCTTTGGGTCATCCCTGGCCCCAGCTAACTCTCCTATCCATCTTTTGATTCAGAGCAAGGGTCAGTGACACTCCCGGAGACACCTGTCCTGTCTCACAAAAGCAGCCCATTTCCAGGTCCTCACAGGCCTGCCTTCTCCACTGCATGTGAAAACTACAGCAAATCATTCCACGAGGACCAAGCCTCTGTCCTTCTGTCTGGGGCTGACAGCACAGTGCAGCATGCTTCAGGCACTCAATGTGTTTCTACTGAAGCAGTAAATAAAACCAAGAATTGTTACCATTTTTGTTGTTTCTTTTATGAGACAGGAGCTCATTATGCAGTCGAGGTTGGCGCTGAATTAACTCTGTAGCCCAGGCTGGCATCAAATCATGGTGATGCTCCTGCCTCAGTCTTCTGAGTGCTGAGATTATAGGTGTGTGGAACTGCACTCAGTTCTCCTCATTTCATTTTCAAGCAGAATAATCTCTGACAAAAGGGGAGCTTGGGCAAAGACCCGAGGAAGTCTTTTACGGAGATGCATAGCTCAGAATAACATAATATAGGTTCTGAGAAGTCTTACGAAAAAGAAATCTGCCTCTCTTCACACAAGTTTCTAGACTCTCCTGAACACAGCATCTTCCCCTTCCCCTTTCTTTCTCTGCAGATCACAGGTTAAGAGCTCATCCTGGGGACCGTGGGGGGTCACAAGGCTCTCCTTGAAGTGCTCTGGAAGGCCACTGTCACCTACAGGTCACCACAGGGAACTGCGGAGCAGATGCATGTCGTGTGTAGCCCCTACCCCTTACCACTACCAGCTGAACTCAGGCTGCTTTTGCAGCTTCCTTTGTTTTTGTTACCAGGGATCGAACTCAGGACCTTGTGCTTTCAAGGCAGGCACGGTACCACTGAGCTAAATACCTGGCCCCTGCAGCTTCCTTTTTATACTGAGGGAGCTAAAGCCCAGAGAGACTGTAACTCAGCCTAACAGCAGATCCAGGGCTGGCCTATAGGTTCTGAACTCCAGATCATGAAAGAAAATTTGGGCTCCTCCCAACCTGGCAATCTTGTTTCTTTTCTGTTGTTTTTTTTTTTATGGTACAGGGATCGAACTCAGGTAGTTGCGCTTGCGAGGCAGGTGGAGGCACCACTGAGCTAAATCCCTGGCCTGTTTTGTTATTTTTTCTTTTCCACATGTTACTTCTTTTTGGTTTGTTTTTGGTACCGGGGATCAAACTCGGGTCCTTGCGCTTGTGAGGCAGGTGGCAGAACCACTGAGCTAAATCCCTGGCCCTCCACATGTTACTTCTTACAGTTATGCATCTCCTGCCTTAAGGCCCACAGGACAATGCTACATCAGGACCCATTCCTCACTCTTAAGCGGTAGGTGGAAAAAATGTAAGGTTTCCTCTACTGCAGTCCATATGGGAATAAATTGTCATTGTAACAGATCACAGCTCAAAAGAATTTAAAGTTAATAAGGAAATAGACAATACTGTGCTTTCTGGTACTAAGGAAGGTAACAGCACCTAAAATGCATCGTTTGTTCTCTGAGTTGCAAAGATGAAAGTGTCAGATTACTTTCTAAACTAGATTCCTCTTTACTGTAAGATGTGAGTCCACCTCCTAGCCAAGGACCAAGGACAACAGCTCCCAGCAACTGGATTTCTGGTAGTTCAGAGAAGAGGCTATGTCTGCTGCACCCCTTCCCCCTGCTTCTGCCTCAAAGTATCCTCTGGTCTGCCAGGCCCAGTGCACAGCCCGCTGAACTGAATGCCTTCCTGGAGTCCTGCACCGCCACAACTGCCTCTTGTTTACACTCTACAATCAGCTTTCACCTACCATGGACGAAGTTCCTGAGTCCACCTGGTCTCTGAGCAGCCACTCTCATGGAGGGGCCCATCAAAGACAGAGGCAGGTGAGCAGCTGCTCGCACACTGCAGCCAGTGAGGGAGGCAACCTCTGAACCGGTCTGTGCCTCCTCGGGGCTGTGACAAGGGAGGAGACAGCGGTGGAAAAGCCAGGCACAGGCTGTCCACAAAGCCAGCTGCAGGAATAGTCAGCGCAGGTGACCCTGGCCTTCAAGAGCCCCTTTCCAGTGAGAACCTTTGTCTCCACACAACGATGCCATCGTTTCCCACTTTTTCAAAATATTTCCTATTCTTTGGCCTTTTTGCAACAGCAAGATCTGGAAAAGTTCAGAAAAGGCCCCAGCCCTGACAGTTTTTTCTTTAAATAAATCAGAGACAAGGAATTTTGCCCAACTTGGAGGTGGCATCATGAGTTATTTTTATACATTAGAGTTTAGCTCCTAATGTATAAAAATAACTCATGATGCCACCTCCAAGTTGGGCAAAATTCCTTATCACAAATGTTCACTACATCTACCAGAAGAGGAGATAAAAGTAAAAACCAGAGAACTAAGCAGCTTTCAGAACAGATCGTAGATAAGAAAAAATATTGCCATCAGATTTTTTAAAGGTCTTGGAGCACGATGTATGGTAATTTCTTAACAAAGCTATAGAAATTTCTGCCAAGACAAATGTGGAAAAGCCAGTGAGAGGGACTTGGCTGAATATATCACTCATAGTAATCTAAAGGAAGCAACACTCTGTACCCAGTAAGATAACGTTATAGAAGGTTATTATTATTTTGTTTCGTTTTTTGAGCCAGGCTCTCGCTATGTAGCTCAGGATGGCTTCAAGCTCTGTATGTGACCCTGACTAGCCTTAGAATCCTTCTGCTACAGCCTCCCAAGTACTGGGGTAACAGGTGTGTGCCACCAAGTCCAGCTGAAGATTATTTTATCAACATTGTTCAATGGGAAAATTATAATGTATTATTTGAGATATAAGCCCATTTAAATAAAATATACATACACTTACATCAAGCTGTTAATCATAATTATCTCCAGGTAGTAAAGATTAATGTGCCTGTTTTTTTCTTTTTTGTTTGTGGTCTTCTGAATTTTGTGTGAACAACACACAGCTTTAGAATAACAAAAACACTCTAAAATTCAGCTTCTTTTTAAAAGACTAGTGAGTACTTCTTGCAATTAAGCAAGACTTGGTAAGCTCTGCCTGCAAATGTAGGGCAAAACCTGGCCAAAATGGTAAAAATTACTGGAGGTGGGGCTGGAGGGTAGGGTTTCATAGGAACTGTGCCAGGTGTCTTTCAAATAGTGTCATCTTTATCCATGAATTCTTCAGCCCAAGCCTAGGCTGAGGCTTTCTTACCCTCGCTTCAGAGCTGAGGAACCAAGAGCTCCCAGAGGCACAGGGGCTGATCTAGAACAACATGGCCAGATGGCATCAGTAGCACCTGAATCCTGGGTAGCCCGACTGCAAAACCCAGGCTTGGGCTGGGGAAGCAGCTCAGTGGGAAAGCATTTCCCTAGCATGTGTAAGACCCCATCTTTGTGCCTCAGTACCAACAAAAACAAGCAAAAACCCCTGGGCTTTCTGGGTGTGGTGGCACATGCCTGTAAACCCAGTACTTGGGAGGCTGAGGCAGGAGGATTGCTGAGTTCAAGGCCAGCCTGAACTACACAGCAAGACCCTGTCTCAAACAAAACAAAACAAAACAAAACACCAAAAAACCATGGCCTCTTCCCACTACAGAACATCATTTTATTCCAACATAAGATTTCTGACATTTTAGAATTTGGCTTTAATTTCTTAGATCCCATCAGATAAAGCAGTAATACCAGTGAACATCTGAAAAAGATCTGCCATTTCCAAAACAGCTTTTACACAATAGCATCTTCTGCCAGGACTCCTATTGTACAGCTGTGAAGGTGAAGACTCCGTGCAACAACTAGGGAGTGGGAGTAGGGCCTCTGTCGGTTGGCTTTCTGTTTGCTCTGTGGATGGAACCTAGGGCCTTGCACATGCACGGCAAGCACTTTAGCACTGAGCTACATCCCCAGCCCTATGTTTCTTTTCTTTTCTTTTTTTTTTTGGTACCAGGGATCCAACTTGGGTCTTTGCACTCTGAGGCAGACGGTGGAACCACTAAGTTAAATCCCCGGCCCAGCCCCACGTTTCTTGCTTTTGTCTCCAACAATGCTGTCCAATGCTGATTGCTAGGCCGGCTGCTTATCACCACCTGGGGAATGCACTAAGACTG